CTGATCCCCGTCACGTCCGAGTCGGCCGAGTGCCGCCGAGGCCCGCCCCGCCCGCCCCGCCCCGCCCCGCCCCGCCCGGGGGTCGTTCCAGCCTTCATATCCACTGCCTGATCAGCACCGAGCCGCCAGCCGCCCCGCCGCCCCGCCCCGCCACGCACAGCAGCCCCATGCCGAACAGCGCTGTCGGCGCCCCGTCTCTCTCGCACTCACGGGCAGCCCTCCGTGGGGTGCGAGAGAGACAGAGCACCGACCTTGCCGTTGGCTTGTTCGGCGTGCCACTGTACAGTGTGCTGGCCTCCATGGCGGCCTCAATGCAGCGCGGCAGCACAGCGCGCTAGACACCCATTCTGCCCCGCGGCGCGTATTCAAAGAGTTTATACGTTCGATTTGGCGGGGTGCCATCTATCAGGGAATGCAGGACACGCCAGAGTACCACCCCCAAACACAGACACACACAGACACACACATACACATAGACGCACACACACTCACACACACACACAATGTGGCGCCGCTTTCCATGAATAACGCGAAAAACTAGCGCGGCGGCCGTCCGGCGCAGAGTATTGGCACTGGAAATGAACAAGAATTTCACAGCGAGCGGGAACAGCGGCGGAGCGGAGCGCCCCGCCCCGCCCCGCGTCGCTAAAGAAGGCGCTGCCTCCGCACAATAGGTCTGACTGATGGCCTTAATTAAAGGCCGTTGGAAAGAGAAAGGAGAGAGAGGGGGCGGGGCGGGGCGGGGCGAAAAGTAGTGTGCCGGACCGGCTTGCGCGCTCAATGGGGTTCGCGACGAGGGTCGGCCCGCTTTGACGCTCTGTCTCTCTCGCACGCCTTCGAGCCGCCACGCGAGTGCGAGAGAGACAGAGCGGCGCGAACACTGGGCTGCCGGGCGGTACGCTAAAGCAGCCTCGATTATGGCCCCGGAGGTCAGGCGGGCCAGGCGGGCCAGGCGGGCCAGGCGGGCCAGGACTCAGGACGCCACCTCCGCGACGGCCAGGACGGCCACGACGGCCGCCTCGCGCCCCTCATGGAGCCCCTCGCCTCCTCCTCGACACTTGTTCCTCGCCATAAAAAAAGCATAAAACACAGAAATATTGACCCTCTCGCCTGTCAGGAGTCGTTTGGCATGAATGGATGGACCCCATTGTGAGAAGCGAGCCGTGGGGCGGCATGGCGAGGCGAGGCGCGGCGAGCCGCGAGCGAACGCGCGCCCCAAACACACTCAGGGGGGGGGGGGGGCTTTCGTGTTGATGTATCGGCCGGATGCGGTGCCGTCGGCCGGCCAGCGCGTGCACTGTGCAGCCTAGCCTGGACTCGCGGTCGCGGAAAATAGTCATAATTGTTAAACGGGCCAAGGAGAGCCGAGACGCACCCGCACGCGCCCCGCCTCCGCCTCCGCCCATCATCTCACTGGCACTTCGCACCCCTTCCCCCTTCCTCCGCCTCCGCGCGCGTAAAACCCACGCGGACGCCCCGCCGCGCCGCCGCCAGCCCCGCCAGAGCTTCCCTGGAATACTGGGGAGGAATTCACGCCGGAGTGGATGCACTGGAAAGAGTGCGAGCGGGTTGGAAGAACGGAGCGGGTTAGGTGCTTCGGGCACGGTGAAAACGGTACCTGGTTTTCCCAGGAACCCCCTGGAAATCGCCTATGTCTTTACCACAGTCTCCTGGGAAAACCAGGTACCGTTTCTGCCGTGGGTGGAATTCTGAGGGGTGTAAGCACTTTGGTTGGATTTACATAAGGTGGAGTTCTTGGGGGTAGAGTTCTTGGGGGGTGGAGTCCTTGGGGGTGGAGTCCTTGGGGGTGGAGTCCTTGGGGGTGGAATCCTTGGGGGTGGAGTTCTTGGGGGTGGAGTTCTTGGGGGTGGAGTCCTTGGGGGTGGAGTCCTTGGGGGTGGAGTTCTTGGGGTGGAGTTCTTGGGGGTGGAGGTACTTGGAGATGGGGGTGGAAGTGCATTTGCCGAGGGGCGGGGCGACCAGGCGAACCTCTCGAAGGGAGTGATCCTGGAGGATAGCGTTGCTGGAGAGGCGGTGCCGCCACCACGCCACTGCGGGCTGCTGCAGGCCTGCAGGTGCACTGGCATCCTGGGCTATCTCGGCGTGTGCGGCCGGCACTGCCGCTGCCAGTGACATACTCAAATGGGATCGGGGGTTAGGTGCGGAATACAGTCGAAATTGGGATTAGAGATTATGGTCAGGGCTGGAGATGGGTTGCGGCTGCCGTGGCCGTGCGGTCGGAGGACCCGAGGACCTCGTCTGGGAGGGGCGGGGTGGGGGATGAGTTAGTGTCGTCATCGCCCGATCGCTGATCTCCGCGTTGATGGATCACTCCGCGCATAATGCGTTCCGCGACACCGACGATACGCGCGTCCAAATTATGGGCCTCCAGGACGAGCACAGCGATTGTCATCTTGGCTGCAGCGGAAGGTCCAAGAAACTGGGTCGCCGCGCGCCCGGGACAGGGAGAGGGAAGAGGGCATAATTTTGGCGCGCTTTCCGAATTTTCCGCGACGGCATATATAGACCGGGCGGGCGTATCGCCCGGCGCTGATGTATGAGTTGGGGTCAGTCGATCGTCGCTGAAGAAATATGCTGGCGTGGCGCAGCGGGGCGGGGCGGGGCGGGGCGGGGCGGGCGGGCGGGCGGGGCGGGGTGGCTCCATGTCTCCGTGCCCGCGTCATAAATCACAATGCGGCGGCAACCCCTGCAATGCTGCGCGCTCGCTCACACACACATACACCAACACTACCCCCCCCCCCACACACACACACACACACAGTGCCCCTGCATCTCGACCCCTAACCTGCACCACTGCTGCCCCCTCCCCCCTCCTTTTTCTTTCCCCAACCCCCTCAATCTGAACGTCCAAGGGCCGCAGGGATACAAAAAAACATCCCCTCCTGAATCAGAGATTCAAACCGTTAGGAACAGACAACCCTGTCGAGGTGGGCGGGCCCCGGTCACTCGTGCAAAACCAGGGTTCGCGAAGCACACCGCCAACAGCCCCACACTGTTCATTTTTTTTTCAGCATCATTTGGAACGTGTTAACAGGTTTGCAATCTCGCGGTTCGGGTGGGGCTAAAGAATCGGCCGCGCCAAAGAAAAACATCCGAATGAGTTTAGAGCAAAACGCCTTTGATCAGTCAGGGGCGGGGCGGGGCGAGGCGGGGCGGACACAGCAGGTGTCGCTGGAAAGTTGAAGGCGGCCCCCCGCGGCCCCACGCGGCCCCACGCGGCGCCCAAACAGCGCCACCTAAGGCACTAAGGCGACGCGGACACCCCCGCATTAAAAGTCGGCGCGCCGCGGCGTCGGAGTGGCGCGGGGAATTTCATTTGCGTATTCCCGCACAACTTTTCAAGAGTTTTAATACTGAGAAAGTCGCAGTTTATGCAGACGGAGATATAATTTGATGAATTTTAATTAGCACTTTTCAGGCTACCGCTTCGCGCTCCGCTCCGCTGCGAGGTGGCTGGCGGCCAGCACACTGTGCAGCAGCCGCCGGGAAAGTGGATTTGTTTTGGTCTCGAGAGTCTCGGCACTCCTCTCTTTCTCCCACTCAAGCTGCGGGCCGAGGCCGTCGACAGGGAATGCCCAGTGTAGGCAAGGCGGCTCCAAAACCAAGGACTGCCGATCTCCCTTGCTGCAGGCTGGCGCCGCGCAGCTCGTGAGTCGCAAGTTACATGCGTCTGGCCCATGACTATTTTATCTCGAAATTGTTACGCTATCGATAGGTCCCTTCTTTAACGCTCACCGTTCCAGAGACATCGACCGCTAAGCTGCGCTGGCGTCCCACAGTGGGCCAGAAGACCGGTGGAGGAGGCCAAAAGTCTAGCGCGAGGGGTCCCACGTCCGGTTCGCGTCTAGAACCTAGGCCGCCTCCACCGGTCCTCTGGCCCACTGCGGGGGGGGGGGGGGGGGGGGCCACTTCGGTGGGATGTCTGGGAAGCCGTAAATGTTTCCAAAACATTTATACCGACTGATAATTTTTTTTAGTGAGAAAAGTTGATCAATCGATTTATTTCAACAGCTTTCTCTAAAAAGAGGGGACTTTCCAGGGTCGAAAAGTGTTGTCCTTGCGGTAAACGATTTCACAAAAAAACTCCACCAAACCAGCGTGGCAGTGGCCACGGGTTGCCACATACCTGTAGCATGAAGATGACGAAGAGAATGGACAGGCTCGGACGATCGGTGTCTTGCGGTGTGTTGTTACTCCAGCACTTTGCTCGCAGTCACAGGCTCACTCGGCACACACGACGACACGGTACGGACCGGCCCGTCCGCTTGGTCTGACTGTTGCGTGTCAAGACCGTCGAGATACGGCAGTCCGGCAGGCAGTCACGCCACTGTCACGGCAAGCCAGCAGCGGCGAGGCGAGGCTCCAGGCGCCCTAACCTCACGGCCCCGCGGCTCCGCCGCGCTCCGCTCCGCGCACCCCCACTGCACCGCCTCCCCTGCGCTGCGCGCTGCTGCGATGCGCACCAGACTCGCGCAGCCCCTCCGCAGCCTGAACGCGACACGGACACTGCCACGGACGGCAACAGGGACGGAGCGAACCGTGGACCGTTCCGCGAAGCACGCAGCACACCCTTGCCGCGCGGCACCCGACTGAGCACTGGCACTGGCTGCTGCGCCCGCCGCCCGCCCTGCCCGCCCGCAGCCCACGGTGCCGCTCCGCCCCTCCTACGCCCCCGTGCCGTGCGCCGAGCGCCGTGCCGTGCGTGGGAGAGAGACGGAGAGGGTGGAAACCCGAGCGGCAGCGGGTGAGAGCGCCCCGCCCGACCCCGCGGCGAAGCAGTGAGGTGCCTAAACCCCGACCACCCACTCCTTCCCGGTCCTCCCACCTTAGGTTCTAAGTTGCCTTGTCCGCATCCTGACCTCCGTTCCAGCGTTTGAAGCTTGTGATTCGTCACAGTGAGTGTCGGTGTGTATCTCATCGTTCCCATGGAATCTCTCACCGGGGTGACGGAAAGGGTTGCTGAGAACAACAAGACAGAGTTTGCTTTTGGGTTTTTATTGTTTAATAGAAATGAAAAGTTAACATCATTTTGTCATGAAAATGAAATGTTCAATACAAATGTTCAGAACAGAAAAGGTTAAGAAAGGGACCAAAAGCTAAAACCTACAAGAACTGGGATTTTCGTTGCCTGACAATTCAGAACAGCCATGGTTATTTATGCAACATTCCTTGCAAAGTTTATTTACAGTTCCTGTGGCTCCTCAGTCAGACTTGTTTTTGATTGTTTGGTCAAAATTAAGTAATACATTCTTTGGATTGAACAGTCTGGCAAATGAATGTCTATGAAGTAAGGTATAAAATTGATTCAGATACAAAAACCTGCCCCTCACGATTCCAGGAACAACAAAAATACCTGCACTACTGGAAATATAGGGTCACACTCGCCCACAATTTAAACATCTACATGACTAAACCACTTAAAGACTGCATTGAGAAACACAAAAAAAATTAACACGAATCAACTTAATTCATGCTACTGTAAAATTAATCACAATAATAAAATATTGAAGAAGGTACACAGTATTTAAATAAAATTGGCGGCCATGCAGAAAACCATCTTTTTCATATCGCAAGGTATTGAATGCATTTCAGCAATACCTTCCTATTTCACACTATAACCACACTTGCCAGATACAATACTCCAATATTTCAGATGAGGCGCATGATGAATCTCAGACACATAAATTGATGAATGTTCATAACATACTAACCTTGTTACACGATTCAAAAATAGGGGGGAAAAGCCACCACTTTATCAGAAATCACTCTTTTCAGATTCATCCACTTAAAAACAACCACTTCACTTCACTTTCTTAATAATTAAAAAGGAAACATAGCATCCAGATATTTAGAAAGATGTTAAATTTACATTAGCTTTTAATTGAAACCGGTAACTCTTTCTCATCCTGACTATCACTTTCTTCACTTGCTGATGAGGCCAATGACTGATCTGAGAGGTCCTCGCTAGGTAGATCAGTTGCAAGATCTCTCCTTTTGATCTCAATCTTCACAGATTGCCTACTTCGCCCAGGATTCGGCGAAGTGTGAAGCAACCCTCACAAGTAAACAAAATTGAACCTAAAGATAAAAAGATGAATAACAAATCAATTTAAGTGTACTTCAAAGAAATAAAAATAACAAAAAGATTTTAACACACCTGCAGAGGGCTTGAGGAAGGGATGAAATGATGGGGCCGTATCCCTGAGCGTTATCGTACAGTTCGAACAAGGGAGCAGCAACTAGCTTGTAGTTCTTAGGAACTGCAAAAAGAGCTGCAAACAAAAGAGTCAATATAAGATACATGGAAGAGGTTCCTGCACCAGACAATTATAAATCATACACATAGAGTGGGTTTTTATCTATGAATAGTTTTCACCAACTAACGGTACACAACAGATAACTTGGAACTGAATGAGGAAATCAGTGTAAAATCCATTTTATTAATTTACCTAAATTTTACTATGATTTAAGTCTTTTATATTTTAAAAACAATTTATTCTTGCCAAGGGACACTGGGGGTCCATCCAATATAATAATAAGGTGATTTGAAGCCCCACATGCCCTAAGTGTCCTCAACTGTGCAAGTGAGCATGATAACTGTTTGAATAACCAATCAAATTATAAATCATTTGGCTAATAAAAACGAGTTATGTAGTCTCCTGTGACTATTATATTAACTTATGTCCATCCTCATGCAGTAAGGTGAACCCCAACCACTGATAAAAAGCAAAGCTCAAATTTCACAACCAGCAATAGTTATTTCCTTCAGATAGAGTCTTAACAGAAAGGAGCTACAATAACATCATGAGCCCCCTCACCCAACACTCATAACAAAACTGTATATCCTTCACTTTCACAAATACCTTCACTGGAAAACAATACAAGTGACTTTCCTGCTATAAATCTAATAGCCTCCTGTGTAGGATCGTAAGATATACAAGATCAGCCAAGAGTGAGTAATCAATTCAAAAATTTGAACAGTAGTTACTGGAATTCCTTCACTGATGCTATCATTGCAAAAGAAAACAAGTGCATAACAAATTTGTTTCATCGCCACCCGCACAATTCAACAGTGAGCGGAAAAGCCAGACAGAAAGTAAAGTCCCTTAAGAGGGGCAATAAATGATGACAAACAGAACATTATCAACAGACATTTCAGCATACCCTGCTGCTCTTGGTAATTTATGTTTAACCATCTTTTTTTTATTATTAGCAAAGTTGAGTCAGAAATGTTTATTTTACATTGAAAAAGAATGAGTTGGACAAGTAGATGTAAGGAAAGGAAATAAAGACAGCTATATTTTGAACTTCACGAAAAGACAATGTAGAAACATGGACGATATAGGATTCCCTGACAATGCTGGCAGCAATTCTACCACGCACAAAATATTGACAAAACAAAAACAAGACCAAAAAATAAGAGTAGATGTGATGGGTGAACAAAAATGAGCACTAATAGGAGAAGTGTATTATGAAAAATATGAAGTGAATATTGAAACATTTTTTTAACGTCACATGCAAGGAAGAGATCCCAACCGAGTAAGCAGAATAAAAAGCATGGATAGTATGGTGCTTGACAAGATAATTAGTTCTATTGCCTCGAGTTAGTATTAACGTACAACAGTAAATGAAAAAATTTCAGACTACTGATGCTAATAATCTGAATACACCTCTTGAATTATTTCAGTGAAATGAGGAGACATGACAATGCTGTGACTGCCCATCTTCAACATTAAGTTGTTTCAGTAACCTGAGTTCCAATATAACAGATGCTTGCAAGTTCAACAAAGCCAGCCCCTCTTTAACAAAACTTGAAACAAACAACAATCTCCTATTATTTAAACCCAAAATGTGCAATCCATTCAGGTTTGACACTTTACCAAATTATTGGGAATTCAGAATTTATTTTTAAAGACACAGAATAGACCAAATACAACTGAGGCAGCTCAAGGCCATGCCCTTGAATAACTGTCATAGATTTGTGACATGCTTCTTATAAAAATACATAAGCATGGGAGAATGTCACAAATCTAGCTTAATATATTGGGGGAAGGGAAAAGTAACACCATTATCAAATGGAGGGTATGGAGCAAAGCTGAATTCAAGAAGAATACAAGATATTTTGCATCAAAGAATAATGCGTCCACTTCACCATGACCCTAAGATCACGACCCTATGTTAAAAGAAAAGACTAGAGAATACTCCAGTATGAAAGTGTTAAGTGCATTAACCGCTTTTTAACATGGGTCCTCCATTTGAATAAGATACTTAAAATTACAGACACTTAACATTAAGTTTAAAAATATGTATCTACAAAGCAAACATATCGCTGACAACTGCTACAACCAGTCAAGATATTTTTGACAGAGGTGAACCAACATTACTGAAGTAACAACATGCAAAACTGAAAAACAGTCACATCACAGCATGCAAATTCTTGTAAGAGAAAATTGATTGAAGCTTCTGTGGGTTCCATAGCGTCAAAAATATCTTTCTGGACAGAAATAACAAGATCAAATACCACATGATATTCCTACCCTTTTCGGCCAACTGGACAAGGAAAAGTCGCTTGTGCTCTTTCGGCTTGGTGATGTGTGGAGGCACGTATGGGTACTGTGGAGGCTCAAAGTTGGGTCGCCACCAGTTGCCTATTGTGTCCTCGATCACCCATTCTTGCTTAACACCATCCTGACGACCGAGTGTCTGCAACGAGGAAAATGTCGCCACGCCCAACTCGTACAATCTTCAAAATACAATCTTCATAGAAGATACAATTAAGAGAGTGACACTAGCATGCAGGTATCCAGAATAAAAAAAAATTAAAAGGAAAAAAAAAGGTGCAAAGTGATAGATACCACATTATTGCAAAATTTGGATTCCTTGATAGATAATTTTTTAACATTAGGAGAAAAACACAAATGGGCTGTCAAACCCATGATTCAGAATCATCAGAACTTTCAAGGGATAAAAGTAATTTAATCATGAAAAGAACCAACCAATACACATTGAGTAAAAACCAGAGCTAACCAGAAGACGGATTAATAGCATCAACATATACTAGAAAACATGACAGTGCATGTTTGCTATTATATATTCATTTTTTGTAAAACAAAAATTCCGATCATTTACAACTTGCTAGGATCCACTTCACTAAACTGAAATTAAGGACTAACTATGAGTTCATGACACTTGATGATCACATCCTTTTATCTTCAACAAGACATCAAATAACAGAAACCAAGGTCATGGAGGGAAAAGAAAGAGGGCAGACAAATATGAACGTAAAACCTCAAACCAATCAGTCAGCACAGCACACAAATAATTCAGAATATTGGGTGGGGATAGTTAGGAGGGGGAGGTAGGGTGGGAGATAGTCAGGGGGAAAGGGGTATCATTTTGCTTCTGTTAACGCTGCTGACAACTCTGACAGTAACAACACAAGGCTCCATGTTTATATATATGTATATTGGCTACAAACCGTTTTAAGAAACGTCAAAACAACAAAAATTTCCAAATCTCTTGTGGCTAACTGGAAACCATCTTACTATTTGAAAAATACTAAGTTGTCCAAGAGATACAAACTCCTCATTGAAAATCACAATTATTAAAACTTAACCTGCCTCACACGATTGTGAGTAACCCCATCGCACACTTAAGATAAAACATTTTGCTATGTTAATGAACATAAGCACTGCGAGACTTTAAGCCAACTTTAAGGGGAAGTAAAAACAACTTCAAATTAACACTGTCGAATGGAAAAGGTCGTGATATAGGTTTCAGCTACATGAAATAAAACCACATCAACATAGCATAGAAATTATTTCTGAGGATAACAAATGCCGAACTTTCTTTTTTCTGATCAATTTAAGGCCATCCTTACTAAGAAATAAAATTGTCAATTAAGACGGTAACATTAGGCCCCTTTAGATAGAGGGTAAAAGTTCCACAAAAGAAGTCTGAACTACGGTAATTTGAACAATGAGTCAACTTCAAAAATACGAACTCAAAATATAGACAACATTAGAAAAAGGAAATTTGGTTGACATTAGTTCAAAGATGAGACAAATAATAGGGCTGATACTCAACAGAAGGATCAGTCACACCACAGTCCTGGTCAAATAAAAATTAAAGTAATTCTTTTGGTTTCCACTCTTTGCCATGACAAAAATAAATGGCAAATGACAAAAATTAGGATAAAATGTCAAAATGTAGATGTGGTACAAGGAACTTCACAATCCAACGAGACACATGACAGCGATAAATTTAGTTTCATTAACATCAAACGGAACATGCTGACTACTATATCTAGAAAAGGAATGTAATACACTATAAATAAAGATTTTAAACATACCTCTGTTAAAAGGCGCTTTAAACCTTCAACCTCATCTTCACCAGCATTCAATTCACCACCAGGACTAAACAATTAGAAAAAAAGAGCGACATTGATTAAAACATTGATATTATGGGTGGTAACGCTCATTCAGATAATGAAACTACTTACAGCTTAAAAAATGTGGTGCCGAGTTGTAGAAGAAGGACATGCGGAAGGCCATGTTCATGAACAAGCAATACTCCCTCAACACTGCGTCTCATACCAATTTTGTCGAATTCCTCTCTCATTCTCTGAAATCTCGCAGGGACAGACGGATCTTTTTCAAATAATGGTTCCTTGGTGCCAAAAGTGTAGTTAGTAAGAGGATACCTGAACAGAATTTAACAAACACTTCAGTACTCAGTGGGCTCAGTAGAGGTCGACGTGGAAAGTGAGATATTCAGAACAAGAGAAACCTGGAGGAAACAGCTACCTAAACAAGTATACTAACGAACATAACCTCCTTAAAACAAAGTACACAAGTCCAACAAAAAGCTGTATATCACAGATCGCAGTAAGTCAAAGGTGCCGCAAAAATTATGTTACTTAAAGAAAACGCGAGCCGAAAACAATCCTAAAAGGACTTGAAGTGATTACAAGCAATTTATAAGGCTTCTCCAGGCACACATGAACGGACGCCAGGCTACTCACAAGTTGATTGGTCTGTTTATCGCCGTGTTTGTTGAGTTGGCCGCAAACTTTTGATCAAATGGAGATGTTTGACTTGCCCTTCGCGGCCAGCCACTACCTTTAATTTGGGTGCTAGCCATATTACACTATTTAAAGACTTTTAAATCAACTGAAAAAGCCCCTTCTCTGAAGATGCCTGAACCTCTGCGCCTGCGCTTCGCCTGCCTCGCCGCTCGCCGCCGCTTCGATCCTTCACCACCACCGTACTACGTCAGTCAGGGCCAATAACTTGTGGCCTCGGTCCTTTCCACAAAATAGCCCATAGAAATGCCAATGGCCCAAAATTGTCCTCAAAACAGCTGCTTTTACTCTATTTTCGTGCGTCAATTTTATGATTTTGGAAAAATACTTTCGAAATTGTTTTGGTAGTTACTTGACTGTTTGCTTCTGTGTCCGTTTCCTGATGGTGGGGCGCCAAACTCACGCAAAATGTGTAAAATGGGCAACAAATCGAGTCATTTTCTTTTCGGCCTTTCAATGTTTAGCGGAGAATAGGGATGTTGCTCTAATGTCACAGACCAGTGTTTGTATTTTCTACCTCTCATTAAGTGTGTACAATAATTCAGTTTCTCCAGCTGCATGGTGCTTCTGCTGAAGATATGAAATGAAATATAAAGGTCTCAACATTAAAAGTTTGCATCTGTTTAACTTCCTCAACTGGGTTTACTGTAACTAATTGCAACACACAAGGCTCACAATTTTATCAGATAAAAATACTGTAACATGCACACCACTAAAAATACATCAAAATTTTGTTTAAAATTAAAACAAAAGCAAAAAAGCAATGAGTGATTACATGTCATAAAATCATCTTGCTACAAAAAGCTTTGCTGCAGTCAACAAACTTGCATACACAGGATGACCACATTAACATTAAATTTCACATTGAAAGGCCACAGTTCACAGAGGATGGGTTCCAAAACCTAGATGCACTTTCAACAAAGTTACACCATTTTGTCCCACTCTACATGATCTCATTTTTCTTCGTTTGTTTTGAGAGTACAAGTGTTTGTGAAAGTGAATGTGCGCTATGCAAGTACTTCAAACATTAATCAACACCCAAACCATGAAACTGACTGACTGACTGACTTACTGACCTTTCTCAAATGTTCTCTGACACAATCAACCAAATACAGTATTTCAATTTTAATTCATTCCCTCCCTGAAGCTGCTAAAAAAAATTACAAGTGATCAAATGTGTTAGAGGTAACCCTGTTCACTGAAATGTTTTTGATGTTTTGTTCATTTGTTTTAGTTTAACTGAAACATACAACTTCAAAATACTGCTCATAGCTCAATGCAATTGGCAGCCTATTGACATAAATTTTCAGTCAAAAGTTTACAAGCATATAAGGCTAAAATTTAACACTAAAAACCTATTTGGTCTGACAGATGTTAAATAAAAGTCTGAGTGATCACAAACAAGTAGCGCATTAATGGAAACAAATGTCAGACTTCAATCTTTGTCAATCATAAGTAGTTTACTCTTGGAAAACAGAGCTCAGAAAATTAATGCAAATTGAATGCAACAGTGATTCACAGATGATCCAGTCACCAACAATGAATGCAATTTTAATCTTAAATTAGTATAACACAGAAGTTTCAATTCCAACTAACTACTAGGGATTAAAAACAAGTATACACTTATAAATATCCATCACAAATACAATGAACATAGTAAGCATGTCTTGCAGAAGGTATTAAAAAGATACAAATGAAAAACTGAAGGTAAAACTCAATCAAAGGTGTATTTCAAACAATTGGAAGAAAATTGAATGATCTCCTGCATAAAATCTTAACTATAAACATTCACAGACATTTGCCCTCAGAATAAGGTACATAATTTTCTCCCCTACCCCTTCCCTATTTTGCATCGAAATAGACAAAAATAACAAATTAAGATTGTATCATATACAAACAATCACAATCAACACAGGCTTAAATAATTAGCGCACTTCTTGGAACTATAATTATTACATATACAGGTTGGGTTACAGAAATATTTGACCACTTTCTCAAATATCAGAGTACACATACAGAAAATATGTAAACACTATGAGGGCAACAGTGATTTTGGTTCCAGAGGGATTCACAGTTAATACAACAAATAAGCTGTTCGAAGCATATCACAATATACTGCTTTATGAGCAGCATTTACTAACAGCATATTCTTTATGAAAGCTCAAAATTTCCACTTGTCTTTAATTTAATCCATGTGAAGGGACTCGCTAGACCCATAACACAGCAATATTGTACTAAAGAAGTGTTAATCACTTTTAGCCATACAAAATTGATTTACACAACATATTACAGGTAACTCTTGATAATTTAATACATTTAAAAACAATCACAACTTTTTCGAACCATATGTTGAAAATTGAGAAGCTGGTATCATGCCAAGTATCCCATCAGATTCTGAAAGTTCTAAATCGTCAGACACAAATTGAGCAAAGAGATCTTGATGTTAAGTACAAAACATACAAAAAGAAGCTCATTAATTAAGGGTAAAGAATATTCTTGGCTTGATGTTGACTTCCAATTGAAGCTATAGTGAAACAAGTTAACACAGTAACTAGACAGGCAGCGATTCGTTCTATGACAGAAAAAATCAATTCAGTCTGCTTAACTTTCCTGAAAATCCCATACTGGTTTGAAAGCAGTTACACAAATAACATACTTTGGTATAGCCACCTACAGTACTTATGAATGCAATCAGTACTTACAATATAACTTCCTTTTAAACAGGGTGCCAGTCATTCACCAAACGTGTTTAACATACCATATTTACATTGTAATCAATTACTAAACACAGATAATTATCCGATATGCACATTGAATGTTTTTCATTGGTTGTGTATTGCATGCCTCAAATGAGATCTATATCCAAGTCCAGCTTCACATATGCACATATTTCAGCATACTTCCATTCTTTTAAACCAGATGAGCTAAACATTTTCACTTGATAAATCTTCACTGGTGGTAGTGTCTATTTCCCTGAAAACACAAGCCAATGTGTAAGATAAAAGTAAATCCTGTGAAAAAGCAAAAACCTACTGACATCATACCTCTTTTCCGGCAAATCCTCTGAGGCAATAGGTTCTTTAACATCTTCCTCTGAATGAACATGGACTGAAGCATGACTTTCATCTTGGGCCCCTCCCAAAAACCTGAAATATTTCAAATTAGCCATAAAAAGTAAGTATTTTTTATTTAGTTTTGTATTATTGTTTTGTTTGAAATTGAGTACGAGTTCATCAATCAAGGCCAACCCCTCAATCAAGGTGAAAATAGGTCGAAGTTTATGCCACCATGAATAAAAATTAATACCCTTTCGTACCTTTGATTATCCAATCCAAGCTTATCTTCCACTACCACTCGTACTGCAGCTACAGCAGCTGTTGCAACCTCATCAACCATAGCAGATGCTGTGGAAGTTACTTCATCTGTACAAGTTGTGGGGTTGGCATTGGCATCAGCCTTCACAAAACTAGAAAGAACACAGAAGGAAAACATAAGAAAGTAGAAAATCAAAGGCAATGGATAGACTATATAGGGAAGGTAAATGCCTTCAATACCTCACTCCTACTGCAATCGGCACAGCCGAACTTCCCGTTGAGGTGGAAATTGGATCCTGCACTCCTTTAACATCCATTTCAGAGGTGGAGGGTAGAGTTTCAACAGAAATAGCAGTGTTGTCAGGTACTACCATCTTCTCAACATTTTCCAGATCTGTTGTCAATGCAAACAAGTACATGAATAAAATTCATGGAGTTTTACCATTTAAGATTCATCTAGTGCAAAGGTTACCTTCAGGATCATCTTTTGCTGACATATCGTCATGAAATAAGTCTGACGGTTCTTGAGATTTTTGAGCATCATTAAGCTGGGTGCTAGAACTAAAATTAGTCTCAAAATTAGAAAAATCTGCCCAGCCTGCGTCTGGGACACCAAAGGTGTCTGCAGGAGGTGGTGCGGCTGGAGAGCCTGAGCCCCAGGGGTTTTGAAAATCGGCTATTGAATCAAGGGTTGCAGCACCAGATGACCAAACTGTAAAAAAAAGTTTTAAGCAATGTACATATTAAACAAATTTAGAGCAAAAATTTCACATTGTTTGAGGAAGAAACATACTGTCATTGACGTCAACTTCCATTCGAACACTTGCTTTGGAAGGCCCTCTTATATCGTCATCCTTGTCATCGCCCTCTTCTTCTTCATCTGAACTGCTGTGTTCAGGAACCTCTTTCTCAAGATTCCACCTGCTGAAGTAACAGGTTAAACAACATTGTAGTACATGCATCAACTGTTTATCTTAACAACAAAAATTAATAAAATAAGCAACATAGAAATTCAGCATTCAAGCAGAAAAGTTCCACATCTCTCTAAAATCAATAAAAATAATTCCATTTGATATGCAGTAACCAATGTTAAAAAATGTGAACGCTTCTCCCCCCTCCCTCTCTTTTTTCCCTTAAAACAAAGGACCATTCAAAGAGTAAAAAAGACAAGAAAAAACTGTCACTGAAAGATGAAGATGAAATATTCTAAAAGATCATGGGTGCAACCTTCTGGAGTTTCTATAACAACTCCAATGCATGGCTGAGTAAAAACCACACCAAGAACAAATGCCTAAAACAGGAATAATATCGAACATATAATTTGAATGGTCCCTTGCCATGTTTGAAAGCTGCATGATGCAGGATAAATAGTATGCAAGATGTAGGATTAGATACATTATAAATGAGTGAAGCTTATTTTGGTGAGTGGAGGCATTCAAAACATCTTAACTAACTGCTAGTCACATAAAATACACAAAAGTTCTCAATTTTCAAAACTTGATTCGATGTACCTGGGTTATTAAAAAAAAAATGTGCTGTAAGTAAAGCCACATACTCAAGCTTCTGTTTATTGATAGATAATAATTCCAAAGTGAGGGTAAGTGATGTAGCAAAATCTCCAGAAAAGGAGTTCTAAAACAGATGCGATATATCAAAGATACTTTAATGAAAATTCTTCAAGATAAGATCATTTAACTTAAAACGTCACAACATTACAACACTTTTAAGAAGTTTCTCCACTAAAAATTTAAACTAAGGGGCACTATAATCCAAATCTCTTCAAGAGCTGTGAACTATATTCAAGCTGGACTGTTAACCACACTTTGTTGCAAGTAAAGCACCAATAACACATGCTTTTTTATGAGGGAAAGGGGGAATAGAATTAAAAGGGGAGGGGGAGGGGGGACTGTTAACACAAGATCTGAGCGTGCTGCACCCTTTCTCATGCCCTCTGCGTTAGTAAGATCATCAAGCCATCCTGCAAACAGCTAATTCTTGTCAATATTATATCAAAAGGGACCACCCTCGATTGACTACGGAAAATATTGGGGTTTTGTACCTAGATTCATTTTCAGAGGTTTGAAAACTGCCTAGGTCGGTATCCTCCCAAGCGTTTTCCTCAGCATCTTCAAGGGAACGTACATTCTTTGCGCAGACATGCTTAAACCATTCATATTGTCTGTCCTCATCCTCATTTAGAGCAACTGCCATGTCAGGAAGGCGATCCACCGATGAGCTGTATAAATGTGGCATATTTCAATGTTTCAAAGCAATTCATGAAACTGATTGATAGTAATCAAAAGCCTAAAGTGCCTCAAGACAATATCAATTGACAGGCCACTCTGGAAATGTGTTGGAGTTTAAAATCACAGTATACCTTTGAGCAAGACTGAAAAAAACAATGTTGCTTTGAGGCTGTGTGAAAGCTCTCCTGCTACATTCCTGGAAGGATGGGTAATAGAAACCTGTACACAATTAAAAACTTACTGCAAAGTGTCCTCTGGGTCGTTGAACTCATTATCATGAAATCCATAGTGCTCATTGAAATTGGGAGCCATATCTTGTAATTGATAATCTGTGTACGCCTGAAGTAAGAAGGCAACATCAAAGAATCAGTAGAAGATAAAATATGCAAGAATAAATAGTACCTAGGTTGTGGGAATACGCACTTCATGATGTGATGTCTCAGGGGGGAAAGCAACATGTTTGTAGTTGGCTTCTTCTTTGTCCAATCCTATTGCTAGCGTAGGTGGAGCTCCGCCCTAATTTGAGTAAAATAAATTAAAAATATGGGTTGAAATATCTTAAAATTTGACATAAAGATAACAAAATTGGAAAATATTCCACTCACCAAAGCTATATTGTGAGTCTTGTTAATTTCACTTAGAGTGCATTTGACAAATTCTTCCCACACAGCAAGTACCTCAGGAGGCAGCTGATTGGCTAGCACAGGCCTTAAGGAACATTTCTCCACTTGTTCTACAACAAGGTTGGCTATCTTAATCAGGTGACCCATATATCCTCGTCGTTGACACTTCTCTTTAACCCTTTACAGAACAATTCAAAACCAAATTTAAGAAAGAGAAATTAAGCAAAATACCGGTAATTCATATGTCCTTTTTTTTTGTTTCGTTTGATGTTGGGTATTATTTCATTGTGCACTTACTGGTTGGTTTCATTCTCTTCCCAAGCATCTAATATCCTTTTAAACAGTTCACACTTCACTAATAACTGCAAAAAATACAAGGTTATGAGTAGGAAGAAAAAAAGATAATGCAATTATGCACAGATATGGAGGCTTACATTTTCAACAAGACAATGCATTTGAGGATCTCCATCCCCAGAGGCTTTGGTCTGGTTTTTCAGGGCAGCAGATACACATTGCTCTACTTGAGTGTGAAGGAAGTTATTCCATTGATATTTAAAAAACAGGTTCTAAAACAAAATAAATAATAAAAAAAAAACTATTATTGCCAACTCTTTGAAAAACATACTAATTTCATGTGGAATTCAGTTTTACCAGCAAAACATCAATAGTGCCCAGATTGGCTAGTTCTTGATTCATCACAGGACTGTTGGTTGCTATAAGAGCAGCAATTAGTCTTGCAACTTGCAGACGAGTGTTGCCCAGTGGAGGGTCTAAGGTCCCAACAGTTGTTTTCACGGGTGGTTTCTGAAATAAAGAAATGCTTCTTATAGTGGATAGCCACGGCAAAACAAAATTTCAGACTTCATATCTACCCAATAAAAAACTTCAAGCAAACACATTCAAAGTACCTGAGGTGGATTGAGCAATAAGTCGTGAAAATCTTTAAGTCTTGGTAAAATAGCAGAAATTGTTGTGTGTACAACAGGGGGTACAGGTGGCACATCTTCTTCTTCTTGAATTGATAATGATGCACCATCATCAGCATAGGGAGTTGTGTCCACAGGCCTAGAATTTAATGTACAGTCAGTCAATTGTGGATTGCTGTGACAGAATCAGTTTTCATTTCAATATTCGCTTTGGATAGCAAAAATTACCGTGGTTGTGGAGTTTCCATTAACGTCAGCAAAACAGCAATGCCACCCACAATAGCAGATTCACTTTTGACTTCTCCACTCAAAATGTTGTCCAAAAGCTCAGCAACAGTTTCTTGCCTGAAAAGTAGAAAAATGAAATCACACCTAATGACCTAACAGTCAAAAGAACAGGTTACATAGAAAACAAAACATTCTACTCACTTCTCAAGGGAAGTAAGGATAGGATCCTCCAATTCAGTGGGATTTTCTCTCAAATTGTCTCTTGCGGGATTTTCTCTCAAATTGTCTCTTGATTTGCGTATGACATCAGAAAGCAGCTGGGCAACATTAGAGTGTCGATCTGAGTCGACCTCTGGCTTTAATAGCCCAATCAATGAAGGGATAACTTTCTGTGATTGAAGCCACTGAAAAGATATTGAAAACATGTTAGGATGTTGTGACAGCACTGATCAATTGTGCTCTTTATCACCTACCTTAATTAAATTTTGTCTCATTTCTGTGCCTTCAACTTGAGTAATAATTTTGAGCATCAAATCCATAATAGCAGATGTTCCTAAGTGATTTAAGAGAAGAGAGATGCAATTTTCCTTGGATTGTAGGAATCCAATCACTTTTAAACATGTTATCTGGTATGAATACCAATGCTGAAAGGAAAAAAAAATTGAAGTGTCAAACGTTAACAAAAGAGGGAGGCTACAATAAAATCCTCACAAGTACCTGCTCGCTTCTCCGGGCTACTAAAATGCCAAGTGTTTTGCTGAAAAAGGATGCAAGAAGGGGGTTCAGTGGCGGTTCCCCTTCAAGAAAAGCATATAACTTGCTTAAGGGTACATCAGCTGCCAAAGCCTCATTTATGGAAAGTACATCGCTAGTTAAAAGTTCACATGCTAGGTTGGGGTATTTAAATCTTGTTTTTTCATCTAAGGTGGCCGGTGGTTCCACCGTTGCAAACGTCACCAATTGTTCCATCACTTCTGGTCGAATCAAGCTGTAAACAAAAAGTTGTTAGTTTTCAAACACAGCAGATACAAGAAAATTTAATTTAATCAGCACCAAAACTTACAAATCAACCAGCCTCTTGTTCTGAACTTTACATTCTTGTAAAATATTCTCCTCATCCATAAGCTCTAAAAGGGTAACATCCTGCAAAAACATTTCAAAAACCATTAACTCACATACAAAACTGATCAAAATTCACACAGGGTAAAATAACTGCAAGTACTTACTGGCTTGTTCAATAATGTTTCTATGCTGTTTGAATTTGTAGTTGTATATTTCCAAAACATTGTGAACACCTAACTTTGACAATATCACAAAATTTACTGAAAAAATCAGAGTAAAAGCGAACAAATTAGGAAAAATTCTTAAAGTTGAAATAATTTATACAACTAAAGTCAATATAGCAGTATCAGGTACATTGATTGGAATCCACAAATGAAATACTCTCGAATGTCAAAGTTTGACATTAATAGGTGGTGAGTAGATAGAAGTTCAGTAACTGTCCAAAACCAACACAATTTAACGGACAGATTTTGGCCAATTAGAGGGATTTCAGTCATTGAAGAGCATCAACCAGTCATCAGATAAACGAAGAAAATTGATTTCCACAAATAAGGCCGAACAGTATCATCTTACAAAGGTATTACAATTAACATTGAAAATGAATACAAAGATGAAGACAGGCAGGAAACGAGAAAAGGTCACAGAACAATTAAGAACTTAATTGAACAGCTCTCTAAATATAGGCTAATGGGTGTTTTCTTTATGTACAGCCTACAAAGACCAGACATTTCGAGGTTACCTTCTGTTATCCTAATATATTGAAGGGTAAAGGCTACTAGTTGAGTAACAATAGAAAAGCGGTTGATTCTTACATTATCAAAGTTATCACTTACGTTCAGAAAACCTGTAACGGGTGAGTGTTGCTGTATCTTGATCGTACAATGATATCAAAACTACGGGTCTACGGCCTAATGTGTAACGAGACGTCATAAGAGAAATGGCCGAGAGAGGGCAGCACTGTGTCAATGAAGTGACGCAAGACAGTCTGTCCACCCACCAGGCCTTCACTGGTCTTGGCCTCTTGCCTTGGCGAATCTTTCTGGAGAAAACTCGACGACGAGAGCAACACAGGCGTTATGACTGAGTACATTGTAAAAGGAGCTACGCAGGATTCACCTTGCAGCTCCAATCTTGATTCGGCTTTCCGTTTCTTTGATTGTGGAGATTTTCGCTGTTCACCGCTTTCCCACTGTTTCCATTGTGTAAGGTAGAAAATTGATGACACGTACATGTCGTGTTGATCGCAGTATCATTTCAAATTTGAATCAAGCTGCCGTCATGAGCGTTTTTCTCCAACCAAGAGATAGTGACTGGGGAGAGCGGATTGGAGCAACCCGGCACAAGGGGATTTTCGGCAGCAAGTGTTTCTGAAACTGAATCAAATCGCAGCTCCTTTGTTCAAATTGGCGCAAACAGAATCAAACGCCGCTCCCGTGCAAGACCCGTGTCGCAAGTTCCGTTAGTTAGTACGGTAGATTCTGAGTGTTCCAACTCTCGCGCTAACTTTGATTGCAGAAGCTGAGAATTGAATGGCACAGGTTCATTGGTTGTTTGAAGCGTGAGTCATTCTTAGCCGTTCCCGGGCACAGATTGGGGTTTCCCCTTCGCGTCGCTTAGCGTGCGGCATCGGGGCGGCCCTAGTACCGGGGGCCGATTCTAATCACGACTCTGGCTCAATGGATTACGTGATCGTCAAACGAGTAAATGCGTACTTACTGCTGCTATAGTTGCTCGTTGATGGGGCGCGAAAGCAACAACGAGAGTCTTCGTGTTGTACCAGAGACATAGCCTGCAGCGGTGCAGCGTGCAGCCCTGCATGCACCCTAAACATGGAACCGCTGGGGATGCTGCACGCCGTGCTGCATCTCATCGACCTTGAACGAGTCAAGTGGGTTATTTCGGGTGGCGGGGCACCCTGGCTGCCACACCCTGGCGGCACCCTGGCGGTAGAGGCACCCTCACCGAACAACCCGCAGCACCCGCGGCCAGAGCGCTCTGCGTAAGCCCTCCAATACCGTTTCGATTGAACGTTCACCATTACCCATCGGCCCTTTTTGCGAATGGTGAACGAAAAGGAAAACGACGAGGAAGAACGGGAGCACAAAGAGGAAAAAACGGACGAAACGGGGAGATCGATAGGAAGAAGAGCGAGAAACGGGGGAGAAAACGAACGAGGAGATGAGAGAAAATAGCGACGAAAGGACCGGGATGAATGAAGAATGAAGGGAGGAAGGAGAGGAAGAAAAGAAAAGAGAAAGAAGAAAACATCGATTTCCCCTCGCCTCACCTCCCCGCTCTTCCATTTTGCTACTCCCCCTCCCCGCCCCCGCCCCGCCACCCCAGCTTGCCACCCCTCCGCTACCCCCGCGACCCTCGGCGGGGCCATGGCGGGGCAGGCGGGGCTGGCGGGGCCCTGGCCGGGCGAGGGGGGTGAAGGGACCGCCCCGCCCGCCCCGCCCCACCCCGCTAGGCTCTGCCAGGCTGTGCTCTGCCATAGTGAGGCTCACAACGTTCGCTCCGCCACGCCGCGCCACGCCGAGGGTACCGGTCTAGTCCCCGACGAGGCCAACGAGGCCGAGGCCCAGCGCGCCGCGCGTGCTGCGCGTGCCACCGGCGTGCCGAGCGTGCCGCCGTGCTCCAGGACGCCCACGACGTCCAGGATCCTCCAGGACTCCAGGTTCCGGCAGCGTGTTGCGCCCAGCCTCCTCCACGTGCTGATCAGAGGGCAGCGCGACAAGCCGAGAGACGCGGTACGGCCTGGGTCGCTGGCCGCGCTCGCGACTCGCGACCCTCCTCGGCGCAGCGCGCAGCTTTGCGCGGCTCTACCGGCATCTCTCTCTTCTCTCGCCGCTCTCGCCGCGTCGCGGCCTGGCCTGGGCTGGCCTGGGCCTGGCCGCCGCTCCGCGTCGCGCCGCATCGCGCCATCGGCCCGCGCTGCAGGACCGACTTCGCCTTGTGAGCGCCGGCGCAGCCACGGCGCAGCCAGCAGCCTTGCGCAGCGCGAGCAGCGCGCAGCCGGCCCACCCCTACCTCCCGCTCGACAGCCCGACCCGACGGCATGCCGACGGCCACGGCGCCCACGGCCCGACAGCATCACGCACTCTTCGGCCAGGTCAGGGATCCCCTCCGCCACCGCGGCCTTCGCGGCCTTCGCGGTGACGTGCCGGCCGCGCTGCCGCGCTGCAAGGCTGCAGCCGGCGGGTTGGAGCGACACGCGGCGCACGCACGGCACCCTTCGGCGCCAATCTGCCGCCACCCGCGCCGCGTTGATTGAGGTCCCCGATTGCCCGGCCGCGCCGCCCCTCCCCCGCCCGGCGCCCACGGCCACCGACGGCCGCGCCGTAGCCCCTTGTCCCCGACGTCCCCGACGTCACCGACGTCCCCGACGCCCTCACGGCGGCCGAGTCCCAGGTACCGTACCGTATGCAAGCACGCAAGTGGGCCGTCCCCGCGTGCGTCTGCTCCTTTGTCCCCGCCCCCCTGCCCGCCGAGCCCGCCGAGCCCGCCCCCGGCAGCTGGCGGAGCTGGCGGCGAGGATCTATTCACCCCCTCCCCCTCCGGAGGTGCGCCCCGCAGCCCTCCTCGCCACGCGGCCGTCGTCGCCGGCACCCGCCGACCCCGCGAGGAACGAGAGGACCGGAGGACCGGCGGGAAGGGTTCGGCGCGTCGGTTCGGCCTTCGGCGTCGCCGTGGTTCGCCGGCATTCGGGATTCGGGCTTCAAAGTGCCCTGACCTTAGACTTGGACAGCGCCGCGAGCACTCAGTGTACGTACAGTACGCCGAGGCGCAGCGTACGCGGCGTGCGGCGTCGCCATGCAGACAGCCAGCCGCTGTTGTTGCGCAGGCCGAGCGTCGCCGCGCGTCGCCGCGACCCCTTCTCCACTCCGCGACCCCCGCGGACGACGCAGCGCCAAATACTCTGTTGCTCTCCATCCTTTTGCCTCACGTGTCCCTACTGATTCACCCCGGTGGTGATTCACCCCGGAAAGAGAGCGCGATGCGTCGGCGGCTCCCTCGCCCCCTACTCCCCCCTCCCCCGCCTCGCCCAGCTAGCGAAAACAAGACGCGATAGGGCGGCGGCGCCACACGCACGCCTAAAAAAGGCTTAACTTAGTTTCTGCCGAACCAATAGCTGCAAAATTGGTGCTTCGTCGCGTCGTATCTCCACAAGAAGATTGTTGTACTCATTTTTGTTTGAATTACTTTCGGGCTCTTTCTGCACCTCGGCCACCTGTTCTGCATGGCACTGTCCAAACAGTGCGTGCGGTTTAGACGTGTCATGGGATGTGAACACTTCCGAGATTGATTTCCATGGCTGACTGTACACCCTGCGTTGTGCTGGCTTTTCGGGAGGGAAGAGGGGGGGGGGCAGGGCGACCGTCGGTGTAGCTGGAACGCCGGGCAAGGGGAGGGGGGCGTTAAAGGGTGTACAGGGGGTGGGCAGGGGGTGGATGGTGACCCTGTGTGGGGTGAGGGGGAAGGGTGGGCCGGGCCGGCCGGGCCACCGACGCTGCAAAGAGCCTCTGCAGCTTCCCACCCAGGACCATCGGACCGTCCGCACGCTTTCCCACGGCGACCGCGTGACGGGGGTTCGAATCCCGGTGCCGGCGACACGTGGCGGCTATTTCCGTTTTCTTCCGGCCAGGTGACTCCATTGCCGGCATTGCCCCCTCAGAGCTTCGCTTATTCATAGCCGTGTCTTGCCCTGGCGTGCAGGGCCAGGGTGGCGCTCGGCAGCCTGTTGTACACACACCGGCACGCCACTGGCACGCCAAGGAGGAGAAGCTGGCCCTGAGGCCCTCAAGACCTTCAAGGCCCCCGTGGGACGCTCTCGCGCAGGCGGTGTGCCGGTGTGCCGGCGTGCCGGTGGTCGTGGCTTCCAATACGCTGTCCCTCCCCGCGGAGTGCCGCGGAGCGGAGTGCGGCGCGCTGCCCGCTTTTCCACCCCCGCGGCTGCGCCATGGCATGGCCACGGCCGCGCGGCGCCACGGCTCAAGGGTGGCGGGGCGGCAGGGCAGGGCCTGGGCTGCCACAGGTGATGCGTGTCGACAGGGCATTGCTATTCACTCTCTCGTGGAACTCGGGCTGCTGGGTCCTGGCTTTGCCGGCTCTGCCACCCCACGGCCACGCGGTCCGAAGCCAGCCTCTGCCAGCCGTCTAGGCGAAAGGCCGGCATAGGCGCACCCGCGCTTTTCTAAGTTCGTCTTTAATTTGGCGCGGTCTCGAGTCCGAGTCAGGGCGATGCCCGCGGCGCTTTGTTGGGGGTCCTGCTGCAGCCGGTGGTCCACTGCACCGGCAGGTAGTGCCACAGGGCCTAGCGAACCAGCTCGACGGTAGGCAGTAGGCTACACTTGGGCCCCCTGCCCCTTCCCCCTTTGTCCTCGCCCCTCCATCGATTTTCCACCCCCCGCCCCTCTCCCGCTAACGCTCTCCACCCCCGCACCACCCCACCCCCCAGCCACCCCCTCCCCGCCCCTCCCCTTCTTCTTGTTGAGCGCCGCGTTGCCACGCCGCGCTTGGGCAAAACCTGGCGCGGCGTGGCGGGGCGTAGCTGGGCGGCGTGGCGCTGCGGCCCCGAGCGCGCAGCACGCAGCACGCCCGCGGCACGCCACGCCGCGGCACGCCCGCACGCCCGCCCGCACGCCCGCCCGCACGCCCGCACGCCCGCACGCCCGCCGCAGCGAGGCCGGGCAGGACGCCGCGCGCCGCGCCTGCTCCGCCGGGCCCGACGCCGCCACGCCCCAGAAAGGGGAGGGGTGGGGGGCACGGAGGGCGTTCCACGGTTCCACGGCGTTCTTGGGGCCGCGTAGGGCGCGGCGTGTCTGCCCAGCCTGCCCCCGCCTGCCCTGCCCACCGAAGATGCCTACTCGCCGAAGCAAAACAAGATGCAAATGCGGGTGGCTTTTTGTTTCTCCCCGACCGCAACTAGACTATGGCCCAGCAGGTCGTCATCAGTCGCGTGCGTCGCGTGCCGGCCGAGTGAAGTGCCGATACAGGTTGTGTCATCGCCGCCCTACTTGTTGTTCTCGTCAGTCTTGTTGTTGGCCGGGGGCCGCCGGGCAGTTGAGCGGCGTTCTGATGACGTCCCTGTGTGAGGCCACAAAGTTGTGTGATGCTGCAGTGTGCGCCACGTGTGCTAGAGCAAGGCAGCTGAACACTTACACTTTCCTTTCCCAGGGGAGCTTCCCCTGTGACCCAGTGCCACTGGACGGGGATGTGACGCGCTCCTGCAAAGGACGCCAAGGCGCCTTCGCCGCGGCGCCGCGGCCAGGTGTCTGGCCCTCGGGCTGTCCTCGGCCCTCGGCGCCGGCGGCGTCGTGGAGCGCGAGCGCGAAAGGCGCTTTGTTGGGTCTCCCTTTGCTCTGCAGGCCTCTTTTCTCGATCCCGCGTCCAGACAGGCCGCCCGTCAGCCCGGCAGACAGACAGGCAGGCAGACGGACAGACAGACAGACAGACAGGCCTGGCTCCAAGGTGCGTTCACAGGTGCATTCAATTTCGTCATGGTCGGCACAAAAACGCCTCGGCCGCGACTGTCTTGGGTGACACATGTTTCAACAAGCGAAACTCCGCGGCTGCATTGCGGCTCGCGCGAGCTTGCGATAGATGTTGCCACCGGTCAGCATTGTGCTTTTAGTGGCGCGATACGACGCTTGCGGCGGATCTTAGACTCAGAGGCCTATCCGGGCAGTGCTCAGACCAAAGCCAGCCACGCTTCGGCCGCGGCCCCTTCAACCAGCAACCCCGTGGAATGCGACTATCCCGCAACACAGCGGAGCGCTCTGCACGTGGATGCGGTAGAAAGAGACGGAGCTACGCCCACTTCAAGGCGGAAGTGAGAGTGAGAGAGTGAGACGGCGGCAGGCAACGCGGGCTGCCGAGGTATGCAACCCGGCGCGCGGGCGCGCCTCGCAGTGGTGCCAACGTGAGGCACGCACTGCGTGGCACTGCGGTGCTGCCTGCTGCCCCCGCAACCAGTACTGTTGCCGCACGCCGCACTCGCGTGCGTCGCAGCGCACCGCGTCGCTTGCCGCCTGCAGCGAACGCAGCGAACGCAGCAAGCGGCGGCGTCGTCGCCCGCAGCTGCCGCACCGCGCCCCGCCGCGTCCACCGCGCCCCGCCGCCGCGCCGCGCCCATGGCTTACTCATCCTATACCAACATACTCGCCGTGTGTGTGAGTGTGTGTGTGTGCGTCGCCGAGTGCGGCGGGAAGAACGGGCTGGACTGGGAACTTTGTATGAAACTTGCACTTTGAATGAAAGCTTATCGCCAGTCCTTTCAATGGATCGAACCCATTCATTCGTCGAGGTGGTGATTTACGAGCGAGGAGTGCGTTCGCGGCTTCGCGGCTTCGCGGCCGCGGGGCTGTGGCGCGTGCGTCCGGCAAGTGCTCTCCGCCAAGACGGCAAGACGGTCAGCACAGTCCAGTGCGGCCTTGCACTGCACCGGCGCCGCGTAGCGCCGCTCCACTGTGCGGTGTGCTGTCCGTCCGGCCCGCCCCCGCCTCCCGCCTCGCGCGACGAAAGGGAATCTGACGCCGCGAGTCAAGCTTGGTGGCGCCACGCTAGAATACGCGAGGGACGCGAGGCGCCTGGCCCGGCCTGGCCTGAGCGCGCCGCGTCGCGTGCACTTCCGGTCCGCGTGGTCCGCGCCATGCGTTTGAATCGGTTTGAATGGCGCCACGTGCGCGGAGACGAGCCGGGACAAACACTCAAGGTGCAAGTCTTACGCCGTCTTATCACTCTTGCGTGATGAGGGTTCCCTCTTCTTCTTCTTCTCCTTCAACCTTGGCATTCGTCCCTCAGCATCCGATCGCTTATTCGTTTCTCACCTCAACTCGCGAAGCCCGAAGCTCGCGGAACGGGTTTGTTTGGTCTGTGATTCTACTCGGTCGGCCTGGCTTCGAATCCTGCCTCCTCTACTCGCGCTTCGCGCATCAGTGGGTGACCAGGTCCCGGACCAGGTAATCGGGGCACGGGCATAACGATCCGGATGCGTCGCGCGATGCAAGTGCTGTCTGAGGGCTTAATTCGACAGACTTATCAAGTCTTCCTTAAGGCCCCCTTAAGGTCCCGAGGGATCCTCTCTCTTTTCTTCTCTCCGTCTCTCCTTCCGTCGCTCTGAGGTTGCCTGCAAGGCAGGCCTCTTCCTTGTCTCTCTCTCTTCCTTTTACTTCTTGCGCCCATCAGCGTCTCTTCCTCACATCCTCCTTCTCTCCGCTCCCCCCTCCCCCTCCCCGCTCGCCCTGCCCTGCCCCGCCTCGCCCTGCCCCTCAACCCCCGGGACCCTCTCTTCTCTTCTCTCTCCTTTCCCTGTCTCTGCCTCCTCCTCCTCCGCACGTTTATCGCAGTGTTGCGTGTTCCCCCTCGGTTCGCCGCTGCCTGCCTGTCGGTCTGCCCCGCCGCGGCGCTGCTGGCTGCCCGCTCGGTCTGACCCGCAGTGTGCTGCTGGCTGCTCGAGCAGGCCAGCAGGCTGCCAGCTCTGGCGGGGCGGCCCGAACAGCAGCCACACCAACCAACCGCGGAGCACCGTGCCGTGGAGCTCCGTAGCGCTGCCTGCCAGCCCGGGCTGGCCGCCGGGCGGACGGAACGACACGGGGCGGTTCAGTTGAGTCCGGTTCACTTCTCCAGCCAGCAGCCCCTGCGTCGTGGGTGCTGGGCACACTGTGCTGGGCACTGGGTGGGTAGGGCGCGCGTGGGGCCGAGGGCCGCCGAGGGTCGCGTCAACGCAACGCGTGTGAGGTTGCGTCCGCGGCCCCGCCACGGCCCGCGCCTCGCACCGCGGAAGTCTTCTCACAGCCGCGCTGCCTCCAGCGTGCCTGCAGCCGCTCCAGCAGCCTGTCTCCAGCTCCAGCTGATCGTCTGGCGGCCAGACGGGCCAGACTGCTGGACCTGGTCCAGTCCTGACAGCCCTGCTGGCGTCACCGCGTCCTCATGGCCGTGACCACCGCGACTCAGGCCGACGACGCGACGACGCACACCTTCCCCGAAAGCCCTCAGACCCCCAGGGCCGCCTAAGGGCAACGCCAGGCAAAGCCAGGCAACGCCATGGGTTAGGCCCTTCGGCCCTGCACTCGAACGTTTGGGCGTCTGTTTGTTAGCCAGCCGGCCAGCCAACAGCCAGCCAGCCAGTATGTCCCTCCGTCTACTCGTGCCCGTCCGTCCGACCGTCCTCGACCGGTCCGTCCGTCTGTCTGCGCTGCGCCTGCGCGCCCGCTACCTATCTATCCGCTCTATCCGCTTCCCACCTCCCCTCCCCCCCTCTCGCGCGTTCTTCCATTCCCTCTATTCCTCCCCTCTGCTCCCCTCGTCGGGCCCCTCACCCCCTTTGTCCGTTTCTCCTTCGTTCTCCGCGTCTTCCTTGCGTCGTCTCCCTTGCGCCCTTTCAATGCTCGCTCCTCCTCTCTTTATTTTCTTCGTCGCTTCTTGCGCTAAAGCCCGAAATAAGATAACAATTTTTGATGAAAATTAGGCCTGGGCCGTGGCGATCGATAGCGTTCGAAGCGATTGAACGCCCCCACCTCGCGCGCCGAGGACCAAGGTAGACCAAGGTAGACCAAGGCGGCGGGCACGTGGTGACACTTTGACGGCTGTCTCGCTGTCTCGGTGTCAGACTGTCATAGACCGGCACTAAATGCCTCTGCAATGAGACCAGTGGGACTGAAGGGCGGACCGCCACACCGCCGGTTTGCGCGCTCGGCTTCAAACGAGTCGCGGCAAGAGACAGTTTTGGAGCACGCCTTTCGCGTCGAAATCAACGCGGGGATCACTTCCCTTTACCGGAACCGGTAGATGCAGTTCCCTGCTTCCCGAGAGCCCCATCCAGAGGGAATGACACTCTCAAATTCCCGCAATAATAGACAAAATTTAACAAGTATCAAAACGTGTGAATGAGATTTGACATGGCCCGAGACGCCTATGACAACTGCCGAAAAAGGCATCCCTCAACCCCTCTGACCCTCCCAGGTTTCACCCTCCCCCCTCCCCCCATTCCGAGAACGGCTCCGCCACTCTCAATGTATACGTCACAACTCACAATTTTCTGTCACGTGACCTACAGCCGCCATCTTGGCAGTTCTCAACGCTGCTGGCGGAGGGTTAGTGACGTCGGCTAACGAAAATCTCGTTATTTCTCGGTGGCCGAAGGATTATGTGAACCGTGAAGTGCGTTCGGTGTGTTCAGGAGAAAATCCAGCTTTAAAATTCGTGATGCTGAATGTGTGAAAGGTATTTATTTGAGTGTTTCCGAGCGTCGAACGCTGTAGCGGCTGTTGAGGCGGCTGCGCCCGCCCGCCGTTGCTTCCAGTAATGTAGGACCTCGCTAGAAGGAAATGGCGGGAGCTTAAACCCCGCCGGTACAGTTTTCTAGTGATTGTGAATTCGAAGCAGACTCGTAGAGTCGCGGCGGGAGAATGGTTCTTGCGCCCTTTTCCGACATTGTCCATTGCGAGTTTGAAATGTCCGAGGGAACCAACCTAAACAAAGTACGCGGGGTTGTTCGGTGCCCCGCACGCGCTGTACTATGCTGCTCTCTGGCGTTGTAAGCTGAAAGCATCTGTAGTGTCACTGCCAAGAGGAAGTTTAACCATTTGTATCGGCTCAAACAAACTTAAATTTGCCATTGCTTGTGAAACTGGACACAAGAATGGCTAGTTCTTCCTATTTCGATGTCTAAATTAATGTGAAAATGTGTGACACACTTCCAAGATGCTTTTTACACAATCGAGCATCCCTGCCCGAAATAGGCCTTTAAACGGGCAGGTGAGTGGTTAGAGAGAGAGGTTAGCCACTTACGTAACCCTCAACGCCCATTGTGAAATAATTTACGGTCACGACGATAATCATTCGCTTAGCCAAGTGTGACATTATTTCAAGGTCCAACTAGAGCACAATTTTGCCATGTTTTGGCTCGCGCTCTAGCGGCCGCGTACGTAACTACTACCACTACTCTGGCGATGTGAGTGTGTGTGTGTGGCTGCTTGCTTCACAAAATCGTCTGGAATATGCCTTGTGTTTGAGTACACACGACGGCTTTTCGATCAAGACGATGACAGGAACTCTGCATGAATTAGTCCTCCGAGCTCCGGGCGTACGTTAGCGAAGACCAAGTTCCATTGCCTATTTGAGAGCCAGACGCTGGTACCGCGAGGCCTCCTTGAGGTAAACATGATGTCCTTACGAGGAAGTACAAAACTTGTTTCCAAATGTATCGTGCCCTGGGCCGCGGTTTTCCATTTGGCCACTGAATGCCACACTATCAGTCGGTCGGGGTCGAACGACCTTGGTTAGAACTGACTTCACCTACCGGCGTCTTACATCGATAGGCTTATGGGGCAAAGCGACGACGGCTGCTGATTGGCTTAGCCTAGACGATGGCGTAAAGCCGTGGACGTTCTTTGTGAGCGCGTGTGTGTGAACTTGTGCAAATTCGCTTGCTAATGCTTCAAAGCCGACCATGTTCGGTGTCCTAACCTCTATCATCTTTTGTTTATACCCATTGTCTGTAAACAGAAGGGTGATATTGTGCACAGTGTTGTAGGTTATGATTGAGCTCGTGTGCTTCTCTTGCCCCTTCATCCAGTAGTTTGGTCACCGTGGCCGCCTACCAATAAATGTTTCATAACTTGTCAAAAAATAACAAATTTTGAAAAAAAAAATTTTTTTGATGAGTTTAATTTGTTCACAGTCATTTATTTAGGAACTGCAAACTGTTAAATTGCTAGATAAATTGTCAAAAAATTAAAGGAAAAAGGGGGATATATTTTATTTTATGTATGTTGCAGGACTGACTGACTAAACCACAAAATTTAGGCTTAATTTTATTTTACGTATGTTTCAGGACTGACTGACTGAACCGCAATCATGGAGGCTGTAACTGCTGAAAGTGGTGAAAACATTAAAGAAATCGGAGGCACGTCTCCTGGTCCTGAAGGTTGTTTTAGGTTTTCTTGATTTATGTTGTACTGGTTAATTTCTTTGATAGTTAACATTAATGTTGAAATTTACTTGGCAGGCACCAAGGTGAATGGCGATGTGAATGGATCAACAGATGAAGCCATGGACGTAGATGCTGCGGATGCTGCGGATGATGCCCCAGCCGCCAAGGACTCTTTGCCTGAATCATCAAGTGTTCAAGAACCACAGGATGAAGACAAAGAATCAAGTAGAAATGAAGATGAACCTATGGAAGTAGTAGACAATAACATTAGTGATCTCTCTCTCAAGAGTGATGTGCATGATAGTGATGACCATGCTGATGGTCAGAATACTGATAGCTTTAAGAATGGACCTAGTGCTGACAAGGTAGAGGACAGTGTAGGGGAAAATAATGGTGAGAATAGTGGGGGAAAATCAGAATCAAGTGATATTAGTCATGAAGTGAATTTAGACAAAATAGATAATAGTGAAAGTGCTGATAATAAAAGTGCAGATGGTTCAGCTATTAAAGAAAGTGTTAGTGATAGTGAGCAAGAAGGAGATGGAGAAGGTGATAGGTCAAGTTCATTACAAAATGGTGAGGCAACAGCATCAACTGAAAATCTTGATGCTGATGAAGTCACAGATCTTTCTAAAAAGAAAGACGAAGAGACACCTGAAAGAAGTGAAAGTGAGAGAAATGAGGGTGATAGTGAAGAGTCCCCAGACGGCTCAACTCCAACCAAAAAGGGGAAAGGCCGCAAGAATCCTGCTCCGCTTTCCCTGACTCCCCGGCGAAGCTCTCGAAACTTAAACAAACAGAAAAGTTATGCAGAGGAGAAAGAAGAAGTTGTGGAAAGAGATGATGGCTCTGATATTGAGGAGATCACCATGGTGGACCCACTTACAGCGGGGGATAAGGAGAACACCAAGTCTAGGCTTGGTAGGACTAGCACCAACAAAACAATTGTTGTGAATGATACAAAACATCTTGTTGAAATAGCTTCTGGCAGCAAACAGTCTAAAGGCCAGAAAAAAGAGCCTACCTTGGTTATAATAGATACTAATACTAATTCAATTATATCTGGTAGATCGCCTATGTCTGGTACTCAGACTAAACTACCATCACGACCAGGTCTTCAAATCACTCCTGCCCACATGTCAAGTGCCTCACCTTCGTCGTCTTCGTCTATTCAGCAGAGTTTCTCTGTTGTACCTGTGGGTAGTCATAATCAGACAGTGTTTGGGAGTGGGGTTACTGCACAACGAGTGTCAACTCCACCAGCTCCTGTTCAGGCAGCCAAGCCGCCAGTCATCCTTCCTTCCCTCACAGATGATATGTACGTGGTTGAAGCACCCTCCTTTATTGTGCCCTATGTATATGAAAAGCCACCCATTAAACCATTGAAAGACTATATTGAAGATTTGGAAGAAGCCATCAAGAAGCAGAAACTGGAGGATGAGAAGAAAGAAAAAGAGCAGGATGAAGAAGATGCAAAGGATGCCAAGGATAAAAAAGATGAGAAAGATGAGAAAGACGAGAAAGATGAGAAAGAAAAGAAAGAAGAGAAAGAAGAGAAGGATGGTGAATCAAATTCAAAGAAAGATGATGAAAAAGCCAAAACTGGTGACACTGAAAAATCTGAAGATGAAAAAATGGATGTGGATGAGGACAAAAAGAGTAGCAAAGAAGGAAAGGATGAAAGTAAAAAAGATGATACAGCTCTACGGGAAGGTTCCAAAGCTGATGACAAGAAAGAAGATGCTTCTAAAGCAGATGGTGATAAGGCTGATGACAAGAAATCATCATCTTACTTTGACAACCCTCTTGGGAAATTCTTCATGTCAATTGGTACAAATCTTGTTCAAGAACATGTACAAACTGACCTCCTTAGATCACAGAAGAAAAAACGGGAGAGGGAAGGTGGTAAAGGAGTCGCCAGCACTCAGATGGCCATTTCTTCTTTGGAACAAACATTAGAGTTCAGCAAAGAAAATAATGAACCTTTCCATCTAAAACAGAAGAAATGTGACTACTGTAGTTTCAGAACTGAATCTGCTTTAGTTATGGCTCATCATATGGAAACTCCGCACATGAGGAACTATATTTACCGGTGCAATTTTTGTGATAAGGAAGTCCGCTCCCCACATGACATTTTGTTCCACATGGAAGCAGAGCATAATGTGCGAGGAAAGTTAGAACGTGGACCAGCTTTCCATCAATGTCCAAACTGTCCCTTTGAGGACAATCAGAAGGGCAAACTCACAAGACATCTTGTGTCCTGTCAAAAGAAGTACCGTTCTGAAAAAAATCAGGTAAATATGATTGATTAAGTGCAAGTGAGCAACATTTACATCCTAAGTACTAAGTTTTTAACTCATTTCTGTTTTTGTAGGAGCCACCTCTCGATTGGGAGCCACCAGCAAAGATACCTCGAGTGTCTCGCAGCAGGCCCTTCCCTATGGGCAGCTCAGCCATGAGTGGTATGGGTGTCCCTCAGAAGCCTGGAATGGTTGGACAACAGCATCCATTACTTCCAAAGTTGCCTGTTGGTTCCTCCATTGTGGGCCAACCTACAATAGGTCAGATAGCAAATTCGCTTGGCAGAGGGCGCGGACGACCGCCCGTGCAGGGTCGTTTCCCAGACCTCAAACAGACAGGCATGCAGCAACAGAGACTGCAGGCACCCATGTCAGGTATGCTCATTTCGAATATTTTACTCTTAAGCTAGATTATCTTGTAATTTTTTTATTTTTTTTTAAATGGTGGTTTGATTTTTTAAATTGTGTGTTCTAGGGATGCTGTATCGTCCATCTCCATCTGGTGCTTCTCAAGTGCTAGTCCCTACTACCTATCAGATTGCTGGCAATCCGATTTATCAAGTAAGTACAGTAGTTGGGACTTCCAAGTGCTACGCTCCATGTCCGTTTTCCAGATTTAGATTTTACTGTCCTTGTACAGGGAATATTCTATCCTTTTATTTCCAGACCATACTAACTCAGTAGATGATTGTTCCTTTCAGTCAGGTTTTGTGTGTGTGGGGTTTCTCATTTTCATTGTAGTAGCTTCACCTGGTGCATGATAATGTGTAACTTGAATTTTCAATAGCAACCTTATCTAATCTCATTTGGATCCTTCCTGAAGAAGTTTCAACATGGTTCTCCTTCTTTGGCATTTCAATTTTATCTTATTTAAATCCATGGATAGTCTCTGCATGTTTGGGTGTCCTACCTGTCTTGAATTCCAGGTTTACAGATACATGGCTGTCACCTGAACTTCCCTGCATGCCACTGAAATGAAGGAAATTCCCGTGTTAAAATGGTGTATCATGAAGCTTTGTGCTAAGTGTAACTGGTTTCCTTGCTGCTGCCTGTGACAAATGACAACTGCCTGCTCAATTTCCTCCTTTCTTAGTTATTTGAGTATTTAAATTTGAATCAATCCCAATGAGAATTCATGGGGAAAGGTATTATTGTCAAGTTTTTAATTTGGGCGCTATTATTTGAGGTGTGCTTTTTCAGTGAGGAAGTCATTTCTTTCATAGAGTATTTTAGTCTAAAGTATATCTCTGGGTGCATGTCTCAATCTAAACTAATCAATCACACATTTTGTCTGAATGTGTAGTGAGCTTTTTAATTTGTGTTTTAAATGACCTTACTATTTCAAGTCAGGTCTCCATGTTAACTAACAAGACTGTTTATGAATTGAAAGCAAACTTGTTTTGCTTTACTGTAGCTATAAAAGCAACAACAACAAATATACCCACAAACTTTCAGTGTTAAAAGTATTCTAATTGTATTATTTTCATTGCTTTATAACATTTTATTTATCTTTAACAATCCTTTTTTGCTAATAACATCAAATTGGAGCACTCTCAAAGTTATTTGCTCATTGATTCTTAATTTCATGACTGAGCTTTAAGATTTACCCATGTTCTTTCTACCTGCTATCTTCATGGTACTTCTTGCAGTTTGCAAGTTTCCTAAGAGGAGGTTAAGAGCAGTCGGTGTTTCAGGTGGTGGGAGGGCAGGTGATGAAGGTTATGCCACGGCCAGGAGAAGGGTCTGCCACCTTACCATTTGCTCTCGTGCCAACAGGCAGCAGTTCTCAGGTAGGCCTGCCATCAATTTTGGAGCAGGCATTTTCAAACTATTATCTTCTGAATGATATGATTTTTCTGAAGAGTCAGTTAACATATTCAGTGCAGATCCACATTTTAACGGGCGGTGTTGAAAAATTTATTGCACTGAACATGTTAATCAAGACAGTTCATGTACTCTTTCTACTTAAACAGTTCAAACAAATTTCAGGTTTCTCTGTTGTCATCTGAGGACAATCGTTAATTTTTTGTGTGTCAAAATTGATCTTTTTGGTCACACTTTGAATGTACATGGGCTGTCTTTAATTTGGCCATTTTGTGTGTTGATTTTTTTTTCCTATCAAAAGCAGGATTTGAGATCTGGAAAATAATGCACTGAACTAAAAGCATGTGTTAAATGCTGTGCTTATGCTTTTATAGAAAATTTAATACTGTGTACCATTTTTACCAGCAGCTGAAATAATATGGGCACTCTCTTTTTCTTAAAGCCGATCCTGATCTACTGATGTCTTTATCTTGTCTTAACCTGTTTGTTTTGTTAACCTTGTGTTTTTAGACTCCTGCGTGTGTGGTTCATATCTTTTCAACTCTTGTGCCTTTGCATTGTATTGAATGTTGGCTTGGTGATGTTGCAGAACTCCAAGGGACAAGCAAGCAAACTCCAACAGCAACCAAGCATTTCAATTACACCTCTGCCACGGCAGCCTAGCGGCACTCCCCCGGCGGCGCACAGCACGGGCATGCCGGCCGGGAGCAACAAGCCTGGCCACCCAAGCAGTGGCGGCAAAGCAACCTTTGTCATTTGCGAGATCTGTGATGGCTACATTAAGGTATGACAAATCTGCAATAAGAGAAACTTGAAAATTTTCACTGGGGACGGAGTTTCTGCTATGATTGTGTATTGGATGTTTTGTAGGACTTGGAGCAGTTGAGGAATCACATGCAATGGATACACAAAGTGAAGATTCATCCCAAGATGATATACAACCGACCTCCATTGAACTGTCAAAAATGTCAGTTCCGATTCTTCACTGATCAAGGGTTGGAGCGCCATCTTTTAGGCTCCCATGGTTTAGTTACCTCAAGCATGCAAGAAGCAGCCAACAAAGGAAAGGATGGTGGAAGGTGTCCTGTCTGTGGCAGAGTAAGTGTTTCTCTTAAGCTGTTTCTTAGTATGTGTCAAATGGTTAGAGCTTATAGCATCTTCTTGTGTTATCCAGGTGTATCAATGGAAACTACTCAACCATGTCGCTCGGGACCACAGCATGACTTTAAAGCCTGCACACTTATCTTATAAGTGCACTGTATGTACTGCCACCTTCGGCATGTACAAACAGTTCGAGAACCATGTCTACTCTGCCCACTCTGGTGTCGCCAAGAGAGTAATGGACAAGAAGCCTGGTGGCACTACAAGTACCGCAAGTCCTTCAGTTAGTCGTTCACCTGCCCCAGCACAGCAGGGAGACTCATTACTCATCAAGCCCTTAAAAATAAATGACGAGATTACAATAATTCCTCAGCCCACGCGTGCCGCCCGGCCGTCCCCCTCCGGACGCAGCGGACCTCTACCTGCTCACATGCAGGGAGGCAAGGTAGGGGCCATCTCCATCTCCACAGCATAACCCTCTGTGCCATGCATAACAGCCCCGCATTACAAGAAGATGGTTGGCTAAGGCCGTGCCTTGCTGCTTTTACTAGCTCATTCCTTTTTTAAAGAATCATTTGTGCTTTTTTCCTTATTCATCTAATTGTCACATCCCTGAAAAATCAGTTTTTTCCCTTTCATGTTGAATTTTCACCAATCCCAGTAAATGTTTGCTCTGTGGTAACATTTCATTCTCATTCATTCATTCATTCATCCATATTTTCGCTTGGTACAACATCCCCTGCCATAAGTTAGCCCCGTTGGGCTGCTGCTATTGCTTGATTGTGACGTCTTGGTGTAAAGCTGGGCCTTTATGAGTGGTACCTTTGCTTTTTGTGGCAATGTTACGTCCAGTCTGACTGAGTCTAACCTTGATGCAGCAATGATGTGTGTTCACAGGCAGGCGAGGACCGACAGCGGCGGCCTGGTGGCAGTGGCGGCAGCAGGGATGAAGGAGTTCAGATAATCGATCTGGATGACTCTCCATCCAAAGACGCTCTTACTGCTGTTCAAGAACGGCTAAGGCGTAGGACAAGCCTTGAAGTTAGTCAAGTGGAGACAGATGAAGATGGTTCATCGGCTGCTTCCAAGAAGAGCCGTAGGGACTGAAGCTGTGTTTTATTTTGTTAAAATGTGACGGGTGAACTCATTCCGCAATGAATGAAGCGGTGAAGCAAGTGTGACATTAGTGCAAAGCCTATGTCAGGCTGGGCTGAGCCTTAGCCTCAAAGGCCTCCACCTTAACCTATTATTGTACATCTGAAGATTTTCCTTTTTTTAATTTTTACGTAATGCCAACTGATTAATCAGTGAGGTGCGCATGTGCTTGTACAGTTTTATTGGCCATCCAATCAAAGGTTCTGTCCCATCCATTTTTATTTAATGTAATTATTCATCTTTTTAGAAAAGAAGTGTTTTGAGAAGTGAGAAGCAATAGTGTGATGGTGTTGGTGTGAATTGCCAGCCACACTTGCATGTTTGCAGCTACAGAAGGTACACAGTGTGTCTTGTGATGGTACTCCATGGACTGTACAAAACACATGATGTAAATTTGCTATTGTGCCCTGTAGCTTGGCTGGTACTTGTATGTATAGAATGTAGAGTTGTAAGGTGTAGAATGTATTTAATGTAATAGACTTTGGGGAAAATAAAAGTGGTGAACTCTCATTACTTTTGGTTTCATACTCATATTTATGATAGGTTTTAGCTCTGCAACAAAATGGTCTTTTAAATTAGTGATGCAAGAATGAATTTATTACAATTTGTCAATGAATTTTGTGAACTAGTTTCAGCTAAGATGCATTCTGAACTAGTGCATTGAGGAGACTGTGTCAGATCGGCCTGCCTGTGTGCCTGACTGAGCTTTGCCATGGTAAAGAAATGGATTGAATCATGTGAGAGTGGCACTGCCAGCTAAAAGGACCACTTAACAGTGTATACTTCTTTTTTAAATTTTGTGTTAACATTTTTATATAATATACTGTCTTGGAATCTGTAAGGAATCAGCATAAATTTAACCTGCTTGTAAATGGAAAAAATTGTAATCTCATTTTCCTTTTCTTTCTTGTTTTGTTTGGCTAGAATGGTATGCTTGTTGCACATTGTTTTGGAGTCGCGTCTGTCTTTGAGCAAGCCTAGGTCGTCTACCAGAAAGCTGTGTCCTAGGCACTCTTGTCTTGCCAACAAGTTACTTATTGCTAGTGCTGGTACCAAAGTTTTCGGCTGTTCCTACACAGACACAATTCCAAAATGCACTTTCTCTATTAAAAAAAATTGTAAAATAAAGTAAACTTGTACTTATGAGAATTATAAGATAATTAGGTTTTTTATGCTCTCTTGTTATTCTGAATCCTCGTCAACTGACAAACTTCATAGGCTAAGCTGGGTTATCACTTAAAGAAAACAATATTTTCCAACCTTAATTTTATTTTTTTTAAATTAGATGTCAGTACATATACAGGAAATATTTGAATTTTATACTCTGGACCATTCAATATAATTGTTTAGGAGGAGGGTTTCCAAACAAATGACTCCATGATGGTGGGAAAACAAAACTTTTAAGACCACTGTCCATCTGGAAAGATTTGAAAGAATTAAATAGACTATTAATTCAATTCTAATCGAAATGGTCTGCAATGTTACTTACCATTTTCAACCAGTCATTCAGCTTGGATGTCATGAAAAGAGCATCAGGAATATTATCTCCTTCACTGCAGAATTTAATCAGAACAGCACATGGAAGATTGTTTGCAGAGCTGGAAATAATGCCACAAGCTTAAAATTTCATGTGCACCCATACATAAATACCATGGCTGATATTTAAAATTTGTGCTCACCACAGTGCAAGCAAACGCTTGGCAAAGCCACCACCAGGAATTACTATCTGACCAGTCGACTCTGTACTTTCAGCTTGGTTGTCAATCTTTGACAAGGCAGGGAACTGAAACCGCCTTTCTAGAGCAGTCCATCCTTTTGACCTTTAACACAACAAAATATTTAACCTCACAAAGAAAAATTAATGGGTACAGCTGCTGAAAATGGTTACAGGTGTATCTCAAATATAAATTGATTTCAAGTTGAAAAATAATACCTTAAAGTTTCTGCAAGTTCAGGGTAAACCTCTGATGTAACCAGATATCGGAATGGCTCACTATTGATCTGTGCATCAATACGTTCCTCATTACAGCTTCCTGTTAAGACGGCAACTTGGGAAATACCACAAGATTTTATCCACTTTATCAGCTCATTCAGAAATAGTTTTCGGAGCCTCTGTTAAGGAATAAAGAAAATCATGAAACAAAATGACAACTGCACAACTTTGAAGCCCATCTATTTGGACTGATGTCAACGAAATATCTCTACCTTTAGGATCGAAGATCTCAGCTGCAGAACAACTAGCTTGCGACTTTCTGAGTAGAATACTGAAAGGGTTAAAATATATTAATTGATAAAGAGACCACAAGCAACGGTGAATTCATGTTCAGCATTATGAAAGTTTTACCTTCAGCAGGCAAGGCCAGGTCAGGTGATGATACTTTGAAGGGATCAACTCCCACTACAGGCAAAATTGCTGAATGCCATAAGTATCCAACCTTTTCACACTGAAGAGAGTGAATCAGTAAGTCAGAACATAACTGACCAACATTTCCAACTGACACTGACGGCTAAATACAAAAAGAAGCACATGACATGATGGTTAAGGATGAGCTTAACATTTGGTAAAGGGTAACAATGAAAGAACAGAATAAATCAATTTAAATAGGAAATAGAAGGATGCAGTTAAAAAACATAACCTTCATCAATGGATCACAAGAGGAAAGCAGGAAACAAGAGAAACAATGAAATATTATCAAGTGCAACTTACAATTATCAAAGTGCATCCTTTGAAATTCACTTCCTTTAAAGGAAAAAAGATTTGAGATTGTTCTTGGGAATTGTCTGTCATGATGATTCAAGTTTAGCGCAACTATACATTCGAAAACAAACAAGAACTAAAGCCATACCTGCAAATAAGCACACTATGAGAAATTCCTCATTCAAAAATTTCAGTTCCTTGACGTTTCTTCAAAGACTTAGGATTCTTGACAGTAAACTGTCCACATATTTTCGTAGTTATTTCAGAGACTGTCAGAAAACAATTTTATTACAGTCAATCGTCATTGTGAATTTTTTCAGCATCGCACTGTGGTGGCAACATTGAGATATCCGCCCCCTTCCTGCTCTGCAGCCGGCCAATCCGTTGTTTACGTTTGGCAGACGCTTTTGCTTTTTGGCACAAGTTTATCTTAAGTTTTAAACCCAGAGCATTATTTTTTTGCAAGGTATGTCTGTGAAGTCTATTTTCTAATTATGGCGTTTGCCTTCATTTGATTCAGCTCTTTTGGGCTGAATCTCCCATGAACATTTGTGCAAAGAGTTAATTGTAGGTTGTGTCTGTCACTCACTTGCTATTCGTCTTTCCTTGTACAGTATCTCTTTCATTTGATTTATAATGGAAGCTCACAATAGTGACTCTGAAAGGAAAAAAGCTCTCATCACTGGAATAACTGGACAGGTAACTAGGCCTGAAACAATTGTCCATTATTTGTACTGTGCAGACTCTGAATACAACTTTATGTCTTTCTCAAAGACTCATTAATCTTTTTTTTTTTTAAAACTTTTCAGGATGGCTCATATTTAGCCGAACTGCTTTTGGAAAAGGGATATGAAGTTCATGGAATAATTCGTCGTGCCAGCACATTTAATACAGGTCGCATCTCACATCTCTACAAGAAGCCGCAGGAACATACTGGTGGCTCCATGAAGCTGCATTACGGAGATATGACAGATAGTAGCTGCCTTGTTAAACTTATAGGGACCATACAGCCTCATGAAATTTATAATTTGGCTGCACAAAGTCATGTTCAGGTAAATTTGGAATTCTTTCATATAAATTTATAAATTAATCTATCTTAAAACATCTGTACCCTGTAAGTTTACCCTGCTTCTTCTCGTTCTTCTCCTCAGGTATCTTTTAATCTCAGTGAATACACAGCTGAAGTTGACGCTGTAGGAACACTCCGTCTACTGGATGCAATTCGCACTTGTGGATTAGAGAAATCAGTCAAACTATATCAAGCTAGCACATCAGAAATGTATGGTCTGGTCCAAGAAACCCCACAAAAAGAAACAACACCATTCTACCCTCGATCACCTTATGGTACGTTGTCTTGTATAGTATCTCTGTACTAAATTATCTGCTGTACGGAGCTGTTTAATTGAATGGAGTTTCCTTCTTCCTTCAGCATGTGCTAAGCTTTATGCTTATTGGATTGTTGTAAATTACCGTGAGGCTTATTCAATGTTTGCTTGCAATGGAATTCTCTTTAACCACGAGAGTCCAAGAAGAGGAGAAAACTTTGTCACAAGAAAAATAACTAGATCTGTGGCTAAAATCCATTTAAACCACATTGAATGTTTTTATCTTGGAAATCTGGATTCTAAGAGAGATTGGGGACATGCAAAAGATTATGTTGAGGTAAATCTGAATTTTGGTTTGATTTGGTTTGATTTTGGTTTTGCTGAATACGATAATATTTTTCTACTTTCCAGGCCATGTGGATGATGCTGCAACAAGAGAAGCCAGAGGATTTTGTTGTTGCTACTGGAGAAACACATAGTGTGCGGGAGTTTGTCGAGGCATCTTTTGCATATGTTGGAAAAGAGATTGTGTGGGAAGGTGAAGGCATTAATGAAGTTGGGAAAGAAAAAGACACAGGAATTGTAAGAGTAAAAGTGAACACCAAATACTTCAGGCCAACAGAAGTAGTGAGTATACATTATATTTAAATCTTAAACTTTTGGTTGTTTTGATTTTTACAATTACTTAAACTGAAATTCCTTTAATCAGGATTTTCTCTTGGGTGACGCCAGCAAGGCAAAGAAGCTTCTTGGGTGGAAACCAAAAGTTTCATTCGAGGTTTGTAGCAGTTTGATTGTGTATTCATGAACTTTCATCTCTGGCTGTAAAATCCTGCACTCTGTAAAATCCTTGTTTTTTATAGGAACTAGTGAAGGACATGATGGATGCCGATTTAGATTTGATGAGAAGAGATCCTACAGCATAATCTAATCTCTCACCCAAAGTCAAGAGGATTCTTGGCTGAAATAGTTGGTGTCTTGACATTCCACTGCCTCTATTGTGCTGTAACTGATCATTATTCTGATGTCACCAAGGAGTTGCATTGAGTTTCTTGAAACTATTCTTTTTTTATAAGATATTCTAGAATGATAATGTTAATGAAAATCAATTCATCAAAATCATGTACTGTTCTGTTGTTTTTAATCATATATTTATTGTGACTTGTATTTCATTTACTCAGCTTAAAATGATTTATCACTTGTGAGGGTAACTGTGCAGTGTGTACATGTTATATTTCATCTGGATGATGCTGTTAATTTGTTATGCAGTATGCACTGTACCACAAATACTTTCCAGTTATTGAATTTATGTTTTTGATTGAGCACAAAAATGTGTTATTTGATGATGTGATACGCAGTGAGGCAAGTTCATATCATTTCACACTGCTGCCCCTAGCTGAGATCAATTAGGGAATGTTTGTTTCACTTTGATGACTGACAAAGCTCTGTTTGGTCAATTCTGTCATTTGGCCAGTATTGATCTGTTTCTGTTATTTTATGCATTTTGATGGGTCTGTGGTACTCCAGTACCTGCTTGAATTTGTGATTTTACTTAAGTTTTACTATAATCATTATGTTGCATTTTATGATGTATGTTATACCAGAGTTATGTTTATATTTTTCTTTGTTTTGTTATTTTTTCATAAAATCCTCTCCTTTAGTGAAAGTAGTAACTTTCTTTTTGGTGTGGAAATTGTATCAACTATTTTATTTCACCAATGTATTTAAGTCTGATTCAAGATATGGCCTATTGAACACAAAGTAATGATTTTAGAAACGGACGACGCATGTTACCAGAAAGGGGTGTCACACCCACACCTACCCACAATGTAAATAAAATGAAATGAAATTTTACAGCATGACTTTGTCTATTACTTGCAGTCGTTTTGTCAATCCCGCTTCAGTCCCGCGTAGTCGCGTACTGTAGTGGGCGCCAAAGTGGTACTCGGACTTATCGCGATGGGGCGGTAACCGTGGCGCGCGGCCTGCCACAAGGGCCGCTCGCTCAGACCAGAGTAGAGTCAGGGTGGGCCGGCCGGACAGCCAGACCATGGCCAGACGGGCCAGACGACCGGCTGCGCTGGAGATGGATGCCTTGTTGGCCCTTGTTGGCCACCGGCCCGGCCCCTTGCTCCCGATTAGGGCAGCGAAAATGTTTGGCCGCATTGCCTGAGTGGGTGGCGCGGCGGCAGGGAAGTCCACGAAGGGGCGGGCCCAGGTCCCTGTACCTGCAGTGTACCTGCAGGCCGGCCCAGCAATCGGACACAGAGTGGACGACGAATAGAGAGGCAGACCACCGATTACCGACTGCCAAGCACTACCTTGGACGCGTGTTGCACCGGCTACACTGTTTGCACAGGCCTTGCACTCGGAAAGTGACTTCGGAAATTGGCCGCGTCGCTGTAACTTTGACCGAGGCACACCTTGCCGCTCGCCGTCGCGGCCTTGTTCTTGTTCCCCGCACAGTCTCGCGGGGCTCGAGCGTGGCGGGGGCGGAGCGCGGCGCGCGGGGCTCGTCAAAGTTGAAGTGGCTTCCGGGATCCCCTCGCCATCTTAATTCCCGCTCGCTCCGCTGCCATATCTAGTGATCCTCATCTCATCGCAGCGCTGGCGGCGTGGTCCTTGACGGGACGCGTGGCCGGGGCGCGCCGGCGCAGCGTCGCGCGGCGTAGCCATGGCGTAGCCAGTGTGATTATGTGCCGAGATTCCCCCTAAACTCCTCGACGCTCGGCACTCGACTCCGCCAACTAGGCCCATTCCTCCTCGACAACGTCTCCGCCTTCAAGTCGACCCCACCCTCCACGACGGAGTCGTTGACCAGGTCCCCCCGGACTGGCCGTCCTTGTCCTTGTCCGCCCCGGTCCGCCCGCTGGACCTCTCGAGTCTGCGGGGCAGAAGGATGGGCTGCCCGAACGCCCTGGCCGTCGTCTTGGTGCTGCCCTCGTCGTCGTCCTGGTGCCGGCCCTGGCCCCCGTCCTCGGGGCCGCGCGGCGCGTCGCGGCGTCGCGGCACAGCGCGTGGCCGGGCCGTCGGGCGGCCGGGCGGCCCGGGCCGTCGGGCGGCCGGGCGGCCCGGGCCGCGGCTAACTTTCCGGCAGCGCGCTGCGCGGGGCGCGCGCAAACTCGCCAACTTCAGACGACTCAGTTTTGGAGGAATATAAGGGATGAATTATGGATCATAGAATTAAAAGCAATTACGTTGAAGCACTCTGGCACAGCCAGCGAGCTAGGCAGATGCTGGGCAACGCGCATGCCGCACGTGCGCGAGCATGTGAGTGTGTGTGTGTGTGTGTGCGCGCGCCATCTCATTTCGCGACTCGCTCTTTGCGCTCTGCTGAGCCCCACTCCAGAGGGAAATACCACTTTTAATTTTTCCGAAGGCAGGCGGAGGCCCAGGCGGCCGGATGCTGGATATCAACGGAACGGCCCCAATTTCGGAGCGGGCAAGGGTTGGCGGCTTGGCGTCGGCAGCAAAGCGATCTGCTGGAACTAAGGCAACTTGGCGGCGGCGGGGCCTCTCTGGGCGTGCGCCGTCGTCGTCGTCGTCGTCGGCGTGCCCGAGTTACACAGTGGTTGCGCCTGAGTCCCTCCGCCAGGCCCGCCGCCATCCAGGCCGCCAGCCCCCGAAACGCGGCAACGCGGCCCACGGCGGCACTGTGTCCTCATAGAGCCTTACAATGGCCTCATGGAAACTAGGTCCGAATAATAAACTAGCGAAATGTCCTGGGTGCTGCTACTGCAATTAGTGAGGCTCGCCCCGGTCTGGCCTGGGCTGCCTGGGCTGCCTGGGCCGGCGGCGCCAATGTATGTGCCCCAGCAGCTGCAGCGGCGGGGGCGGCGGCGGGGGCGGCGCTGGGGCGCTGCGGGGGGCGTTTCTACCACGGCTACACCCGCTCCACCCGCTCCACCCGCTCCACCATTCCTCAGACTGCCTGGCCCGTAAAGCTGCTTGCAGTCTTGCGCACACTCGCCCCGAAATTCGCAAAATCCTGCTCCAAAAAACAGACTATTTCTACCCGTGGTCCGCGCGGCGCCGTCCCGTATTTGAGTGCGGGCGGTCGCGGTCACGGCGAGGCCATGCGGGCGGTCAGCGCGGCGCTGTAAAAGGGGCTAATGATGGAGGGAGGGAGTATGTTACGACCCGGGGGTCATGACGGGGAGGGGGAGGGGAGGATTAAGATTCACGGTGCGCCGCGTGCCGCCGGCGTGCAGTGTGCGCTGCGTTTGTTACTGCCGCCGTGGAACGGCGGGGAACGGCCGGAAGGCCAGGTGGGCGTGAACCGAGTGAACCACTCCGCGGAGTACGGAGGGCGGCGCACCACTCACTCCGCACCCTGCTTCGCCTTCTCCGGGATCGGCGCCGAGCGCCACCCTCGTGGGCCCCATCGTGGCCGCGTCGTGGCTTAGCTGCGGCCGCCCGACCGGGACAGGCGTTCATGTTTGTAAGGGATGTCGCCGTTCCCAACTCTCCGGCGCCTCCCTGGAGAGGGGGATCGTGCACACCCCGCCCCGCCCCGCCCCGCCCCGCGACGTGGTCGGCCTGACCGGGGCTGGCCGCCCCCCGAGGGAACGCCCGGACTAAGTTATCGCCGGCGCCGATGAAACAAACCCCATTTATTGGCTTACCTTTGGCAATTGCTCCTCCGGCGCGGCTGCCTGGCGGCCCAGCGTGGCGGCCCAGCCTGGCTGCGGCCTGTTTTTAGCGTCTCTGCGGCGCGCCCCCGGCCGCCGCGTGGCCACCCCCCGCCCCCGCCCCCGGGGCCGGCCAAGTTCGGCGTGGTCTCGCGCGCACCCCTCCGGCTCTGTTATTGGCTGTCGCTCATTGAAAATTAGTGGCAAGTCTGCGATTGGGGGCGGGGGCGCGGTGGCGCGGTCCATTGACTGACGTGGCCGCCGCGCTGCCGCCGCGGTTCGGATCACGGAGCCAGTGGACCAGCACCACCAAGGGGTGGCCGTCGTCACCGGGGCACACCGCGTGGGGCGAAGCAGGCGAAGGTGTCCTCTGAGAACGTCGCTGTTGTTGTTTTCCTTCGGGGAGGATTACTGCTCTGGCCGGCCGGCCGGCGCTAACCCCTCGGCCAGGCCGCTCCGGACGCCCCGGACTTCCAACTCCCCTCCTTGTCGTGCTCGGGGACGCCGCCGGACGCGCACACCTCTGCGCACACACGCTCACAAAGTTTGTCGGCGTGCAAGCACATTTGGCGCGGCCAATGGTCCCGCCGAGCCGAATTAAAGGACCTGCGGTTGGCCACACTGCGCGCCTTGCGCGCCTTGCGCCGCCTCGCGCCTTCAGCCGCACCGAGTACACCAGTAAACCGAAGCGACGCGTCAATTCCGTCCGCCGCCTCCGCGGCGCCGCGTCTGTAAGACGCTTTTCCCTTTTTCGGCGAGGACAATTTTCCTGCTCCAGTTGGCAAATGTTTCCTCTCATCTCGTGCGACACGTTATGTACAGCCCGGGACGGATGCTCACCCCTTCGCTTCCCTTCCTCCAGCCCCGCCAGCCCCTCCAGTTCACCAGCCGGATATCAGACAGCGCCACGTCCGCAAACGGGGAGGGGGGGGGGGATGCCCTGCGGGTTGCATATTGGTGCGGGGTGGAGGGGCTGGCGCCTAGGGTGATGATGACTGGGTGACGATAGCCTCGCCACGGAAATGGGGACGGAGGGAAGGGGGGGGGGCTGCAAAACCGCCAAAAACCGCGGCAAGGACGCGGAGGGGGGGGGGGCAGAGATAAGCGCGGCAGAGGGTTTTTGATCTCCAGCGCGTCGAAAATGTGTCGGATGGCGCCACAGCGCGGCGGCGCGTCGCAGAGGGGCACAAATAGAAAAATGCAGAGCTGGGGGAGCGAGCCGCGCGCACGGAACGGGCCGGGACGGGGCGGGACGTATGCCGGGGAGGCAGGACAGCGATGAGCGATGCGGGGGCGGGGGCGGGCCGGGCGCGGGCCGGGCGCCACACCGGTGCTTGATAAGCGGTCCGCGTGGCGACCGCCTTTGCCAGAGATAACGGCAGCACGCCATTCCACCCTTCCTCTCCTCGATAGTGACCCTCGCCCTGGCGCCCTGCGACCGCCCCGCCGCACAGTGGGCCAGAAGACCGGTGGAGGCGGACAATACTCTAGACGCGTTTTGAGCTCCAGAGTAGCTGAATGGCACTCGAACCGAACGTGTGACCCCACCAATAGATTGCTCTCCGAACGAGGAATCCATTGGTGGGGTCACACGTCCGGTTCGAAGCCTGTTTAGCGATTCTGAAGCTCAAAACGCGTCTAGAGTTTCGTCCGACTCCACCGGTCTTCTAGCCCACTGTGACCGCCCCGCAGCTCCGCCGCCCTCGGTGCATGCAGGGTCAAGCCAGGGCTCTTCCTCCCCGCACTGCCCGTGCGGTGTGTGAATGTGAGTCCGACGCGGAGGTCGTAGCGATTTCGGCAGGGAAGGGCTCGGCAGGTGGTTCTGCACCGTGTTGCCATAAGAAAGCAAAAAATTCCACGATACTGCCACTACACTGGTTTTTCAAGTTGGTTACAAACGACCGCCAATCATGGTCCGCGAGAGGTCAGGCGGGGCGGGAGATGGCAGGAGAAAAATATACGCGCCTTCCCCGGCGTCGAAAAAAAAACGGGGCCCGGGCGGCGGGATTCGAACCCGCGATGGTGGCGCGTACGTTATCATCAAACGGCTGACAGTGAAACATTATTCAGTAACGGCCGAGTCGAGAGGACCTCGGAGAGGACGTTTCGCGGGATTGCGGCCTTTGGGTGGCGGTGGCAGTAGAACATCCCCTCCCCCTTCCCTCCGCGCGATCGGAAGGGAATTCAGCCGCGTGGAATTCCCTGCTCGGGCCGGCGCGGCTCGGCGT